GGCCAGATTAGAGTTTGCCAAACAACATCTAAAAAAGCCTTCACAGTTCTGAAACAACAACCTATGGACAGATGAGACCAAGATCAACTTGTACCAGAGTGATGGGAAGAGAAGAGTATGGAGAAGGAAAGGAACTGCTCATGATACAAAGCATATCACCTCATCAGTGAAGCATGGTGGTGGTAGTGTCACGGTGTGGGCATGTATGGCTGCCAATGGAACTGGTTCTCTTGTATTTATTGATGATGTGACTCCTGACAAAAACAGCAGGATGAATTCTGAAGTGTTTCGGGCAATATTATCTGCTCATATTCGGCCAAATGCTTCAGAACTCATTGGACGGCGCTTTACAGTGCAGATGGACAATGACCCGAAGCATACCGCAAAAGCAACCAAAGAGTTTAACCCCTTAAGGACACAGCTTCAGAAGCTTGATTTACGCTTAATGACACAAGCAATTTTTGCATTTTCTTGCTGTTTGCGTTCAACTGCAATTTGCATCTCTCTCATTTATTGCACCGACACATATTATATACTGTTTTTAAAGGACAGAAAGGGCTTTAATTTGATATAACATATATATATATATATAAATGCTTACTTATTATAAAAAAAATACAGAAAAATGCAAAAAAAATGAAAAATATTGGTTTTTTTACAGTTTTTGCAATAATAATGTGTGCATAATTAGTGCAGGTTAAGGAAAGTAATTAAAAATAAATTTATTTGTTCTGATTTACAGAATATATAATGTGTCTGGGATTTTAAGTTTTTTTTGGTAGTTACAGGTCACAAAGCACAAGGAGTAAAATAAACTTTTAATGTGGAGCGACTTTAGAATTTGGTATGTTTGTCTTGTAAGCGTAATAGCCATAAAAGAAAACAAAATTGCCACACAAAAGTATATATTTATATAAAGTAGACATCACGGGCTATTTACCCAAGGTTGTTTTGACACTTTCTACGTAGCCATTTCACCGCCAACCTCTGCTAAATATTGGAGTAAAATTGTGTTCTTTTTGGTTTTTGGCACACAAACTTATAACAGAGAAATTCTCGTGTATATTTTGTAAAGTTGGTGTGTGCTATTCCTGTACAAAGTTTTATTTTGTGTTCAGTTACATCTGCTGAGTAAAATGACACCCCCATTGTATGTCTTTTGCACTATTTCGTGAAGTTACAGTGCCATACAGGATACCTGTCCTTTTCAGTATTCACAGTAGAATTTTGAGAGATGGATTTAATGAGCCTTAGCTTCCATTTTGGGATATTATAACAGTTTGACTGTTCAAAAAAAACCCACAAAGGCCTACCATTTGTAAAAGTAGACACTCCAGGGTATCTCATAAGGTGCATATTGTGCCTTAACATGCCCCCATTTTTCACCAATATATGCCAAAGTATGTGGTAAAAAATAATTTTGTGCATTTTTTACATACGGATTGCATTTTTGCTGGGCGTTTTGTATATTTCATATGTGCCACTAAGTTCAAACCCCCCAAATTATGCTCAGCTAAGTCTTCTGAGTAAAATGACACCCCATATGAATGTCTTTGGCACTATTTCGTGAAGCTACAGTGCCATATAGGAGACCTGTCCTTTACAGTATTCACAGTAGAATTTTGAGAGATGGATTTAATGAGCCTTAGCTTCCATTTGGGGTATTATAACAGTTTGACTGTTCAAAAAAACCCCACAAAGGCCTACCATTTGTAAAAGTAGACACTCCAGGGTATCTTATAAGGTGCATATTGTGCCTTAACATGCCCCCATTTTTTCACCAATATATGCCAAAGTATGTGGTAAAAAATAATTTTGTGCATTTTTTACATACGGATTGCATTTTTGCTGGGCGTTTTGTATATTTCATATGTGCCACTAAGTTCAAACCCCCAAATTATGCTCAGCTAAGTCTTCTGAGTAAAATGACACCCCATATGAATGTCTTTGGCACTATTTCGTGAAGCTACAGTGCCATATAGGAGACCTGTCCTTTACAGTATTCACAGTAGAATTTTGAGAGATGGATTTAATGAGCCTTAGCTTCCATTTGGGGTATTATAACAGTTTGACTGTTCAAAAACCCCCACAAAGGCCTAGTCTTATCTTATAGTTAGGATAGCCTTATGCCTATCCCACGCATGCTTAAACTCCTTTACTGTGTTAACCTCTACCACTTCAGCTGGAAGGCTATTCCATGCATCCACTACCCTCTCAGTAAAGTAATACTTCCTGATATTATTTTTAAACCTTTGTCCCTCTAATTTAAGACTATGTCCTCTTGTTGTGGTAGTTTTTCTTCTTTTAAATATAGTCTCCTCCTTTACTGTGTTGATTCCCTTTATATATTTAAATGTTTCTATCATATCCCCCCTGTCTCGTCTTTCCTCCAAGCTATACATGTTAAGATCCTTTAACCTTTCCTGTAAGTTTTATCCCGCAATCCATGAACCAGTTTAGTAGCCCTTCTCTGAACCCTCTCTATCAATATCCTTCTGAAGATATGGTCTCCAGTACTGTGTACAATACTCCAAGTGAGGTCTCACCAGTGTTCTGTACAATGGCATGAGCACTTCCCTCTTTCTACTGCTAATACCTCTCCCTATACAACCAAGCATTCTGCTAGCATTTCCTGCTGCTCTATTACATAAACTGAAGACAAGAAGAAATTAAGAAGATTTAAGAGCGATCAATATCCCAACCAGATTTTACAGTATTCACCACTACAGACCGTACAGCTGTGGTTAATTACCAGGAGGTAAGCAGAGAGCTGATTGAATTAGCGTTTTTTATGTGATGATCAGAAAGCCATCAAATATCCCGAGGTATAGCTTTCCATCTCAGGTCATATGACCAGCTCGGATACTCAAAGACCTCTTATACCCACAGATTTAGGCATTAATATAAATTGGTACTGTTAGGGTGATGAAAGGCGGATAAAATACTTCGGCTGAATGGCGAAGTTTTCTTTTCCCTAAGGGGTGCCATTCTCTAGAATGATTGTATGCCTTCAGCTGTGTATCGTTACAGTTATACTCTCCGTTGGCTCAGACTCTCTAATTTAGGGATACCCTTTCCCCCAAATCTCCTATAGAGTTACAGCAGGAAGGTCTGATGTAGGATTTTTTTCGCCATTCAGCCGAAGTACTTGGGATATTCTGCAAACTGTTGCCAAAAAACCAGTTTTACCACACTTATTCTCCCCGTGGGGACACCACCATTTGAGTTTACTGCTCTCTATTGTGGTGGATATACATAGTCTTCTGTTGCTTCATAATTAAAATTTGGGCGTATTTACCCTATTTATAACAGTGGTGGCCATAGACTTATTACTTTTTCTCTTGCAACAAAACACGGTCTTGATCCACCACATCTCTACTATATCTAGCAACAGTATCAGCACCATAGATCCTATTTTAAAACACTCACTATTTCCGTTTTATTTTTTCATATGTTTGTTTAATTCACTATTTATATTTATTTATTTTTTGTTTCCTGTTCCTTATGAGGAACTAATAAAATGAATAGTTCATTTTGCTCCCTTCTTATTTAGGCACTGTCCTATTAAGTAGAGCAGCTTTTTCTCAAGGGTAAAAGGTCTAACAGGGAGTGAGTTCATTTATTTTATCCACCCTTTGCAGTCCTCCTTTTCCTTAGTTTATTAACGAAACCGTATGAGATGTAAAACTCTTAAAGCTTGCTGAAGTGCTTTATGTGTTAAGAGTATCCCACAATAATGACACGATTCAAAATCAAGACTTCTACTAGAACGCGGCACTTTTATAAACAATTAATGAAAAACAGCCAGTGGTTGGTTTTTTCCTGGAAGTGGCAGGTGTGTACCTGCCTCCCCTCTGCATACCTCATGTCAGACCTTAGATCTTCATGCTGAAGTGCGCAGGTGCATGGAAAAAGACCTTTAGAATCACCTCACCTAGAAGCCTTTGAGTAAGTATTTCAACCTCTTCGCAGGGAAAAAGGCTGCAGTCATTTGCAATCGGTTTTAAGACATGCATGCATTGGGGGTGTATCTACTAAGAAGTGATCTCAAATTTATTTGCACATTTGGGCTGTGTAGTATATTTTTACTAACACCTACAGCAATTTAGTTTTCTGAAGTTTCTTTTTTTCCATTTTACAAAACAGGCAGGTCAAATAGTTTTCCTGGCACTGCAGGTCCCCTCTCCCTCCCACCCCCCCGGTTGCTGAAGAGGTCAAAATCCCTTCAGTGACATACCTGAGGCAGCGCCGATGTCCCTTGGCGCTGATTCTCGGTCCGCCCACACTCCTCCCCGTCATCCGGCAGGGGAGACTGATCACGCCCGCCGGCGGGGGAGACCTAATGCGCATGCGTGGCAATTGAAAATGCTTTCCTATGGGGATTTTAGCGAAGCTGGAGGTCCTCACAAAGCATGAGGAAGTCCAGCGACGCTATAGCACAGAAAACCTGTGCTATGAAGCAGGAAGTGCCCTCTAGTGGCTGTCTAGTAGACCGCCACTAGAGGAGGAATAAACCCTGCAAGGTAATTATTGCAGTTTATGAAAACTGCAATAATTACACTTGCAGGGTTAAGAGTAGTGGGAGTTGGCACCCAGACCACTCCAATGAGCAGAAGTGGTCTGGGTGCCTGGAGTGTCCCTTTAACATTATTACACCCCTCTAATGGGCCATCAGACAACCGGTCCTATTAGTTTGGCTCAGTGGAGGAAGACTCAAAAGTCAGGCAATTCTCCAGAGCTAACACTTCACAATGAGTAGTCTATGATTAGACAGCCAATGAAAGTATGGCTGGGGAAGAAGAGGAGAGCTTGCAAATGCTGCAGACAAAACATCTACAGCTGTTGCAACCTGTTTTTCCATATACTCCCAATGAAAAAATGCAAAATTAAATGCATGCATGTTTTCATAGGATGGGTATTTACTAAAAAGTGATTTAAAAAAAAAATATAAAACATTTTAAGTTTGGGCAGGGAAACCAACCCCACATTATACTGGACAAATACACTTTTACATTACAACATAATGGTAAAAAATAATCCCGCAAATGCTCATGCACACACACACAAGTCTATATGTGTGTTCTATTTGCATTTATACAGAATCAACTTATTACACAGCAATAATGTGCAGTAAACTCATACAATAAAACACATGCTTTTATTACCCATTTTTATGATGGTATAAAGCAGATACTTCAGGTGTACCATTGTGTTCACCATGATTAAAGATATTTTGCACAATAAAATCACACATTCTTAACTGTACTTAATACAGGTAACACGTTGCTTATTAGAGAATATGTATGAATCTGTCCTTCCACCAATTAGTTTGTTTCTAGAAATGTAAAAATACTGAAACATCAAAACGGACACCATTCTAATTACTTCTTGTAAGTCTGTAAAATTGAATAAGGTACTTTTTCCCTTTTACACTGGCTGCATGGAGTTATTAATTAAAATATTATGACAATTAAAATTAGACTTTAGACATTTATCATGTTTGCAAACATGTCAAACTATTTTAACATGTGGACTTCTGAAAGGATGCAAAAGTGTTTCGACAGAGAAATGCTTAAATAGGTCTGAAAGTGAAAGAATAAAAACTAAATTGATTATTAAAAAATAAATAAAAAATATTACATTATTATAGCATCAGGGTGCAGAATTTTGTTTGGCAGAAGCATTACTTATTTTAGCAGAAACGTGAAGTTTCACAGCAAAGAGATAACAATAGCTGCAAGGGTAAGCCGGAGTTAAACTAAAATATGTTTAATGTTTACAAAATAATGCATAAGGCTATAGTACAGCTAATATTTTCTCTGCAGTGATATTAATGATTCTGACCATTGTATTTATTACTTCTTGTATTTAAAAGAGACAAGCACATACCTATTTAATGTTTTTGTTTATCATAGGTCAATCAACTAGCCACTCACACGAATTAGCAATGGCAACCACATGACCATTGCCAAGCATGTGAAATAGTACCAAAAATATGAATATTCATCTAGCAGAAATCTCTGTGCAATAGGGAATTTAGAATTATCACTTTGTACCACTCCAGACTTTAAACTGATTAATAAATGGTGCCAAATAAAAAAAAAAAAAAAAAACATCAGCCTTTGCAATAATATGCAGACAAGGAAGATCAAGGGTAGAGAAGAAACGCCAACATATAGGTTTATTTTGCAACAGAAGGAAGAAATTAAAGACTAGTTGTTCATACCAGATCAGCCCTTTGTGCTATGGTGTGATTAAATGACAATGGCTGGAAAGAAGTGGAAATGAGGTAACTGTAAGAAAAGATTTTTTTTTCCCCCCACAAAAATTGTCAATAGCCACTGATTGCACAAAACTAAGAGGAAGACAGGTCCTGCTGTGGTCACACAGTGTTTTCTTTCAATTTCCAGTGAAACATTACAATCTCCTCTGGCTGGCTATCACTGCTTATTGATGTTGCTCTTCATTACTTGCACTTGGAGTCCGGCTTCTAATTTGACTGCGTAGCTCTTCTATCAGCTCAGGATTTTGTTGCTGCATTTGCTGAGCAAACTGTTGACCTCTTGGAAATGAGAGAGAAAAAAAAAAAGAGATACGTGTAATAAAGCCCATTCTGATAGCTGAAACAATTGGGGGGAAATAAATAAAAACCTATAGCGTTCTTTTAATGTGATTATTATAGACTTGATGCAATATCAATTTATATTTGAGTTGAAATATTACAATACCTATGTCATTAACTGAACTATGTGTGCTGTGTAGTGGCTGAATGGATTTTCACTATACACCGTGTTAGAAAAGTAGACAGAAAACAGATTAGGATGCATTTTTCATTTCAGTATGCAAAGATAGCACATTATTAAATGGAAACAATACCAAAAATCTTAGATGGACAAAAAAAACGTAAATAAATAATTTACCAAATAATTAACAGACAAGGAAACCGTGTTATAAATTAATATAGACGTATGATTATAATATATGTTATAGCTTTGCCCATACCATATCACCCTCATTTCAGCCATGTTGCTTCTTTGGATATACACACACACATACACATTGATAGTTGTGGCAAAACAACAAGTGATAAACTGTGCCAAACAGAACCAAAAAATCTCACGGGTGAAATCCATCTTAAAAGTGACCTAATGGTGTGTGTAAAGGATAACCTGGCACCCCGACTGGGTACCTCCGTTGAAGGATGCTCCTAGCGCTTCCTGAGGGCTCCAAGCACTCCAGCCGACACCATAACCACTGTAGACTCCTCCAGAGAGCAAGACAGGAACAAGCTCTTACAAGAGCTTAGTAGTGATATAGCAAGGGAGTAGCATAGCAATCCCTTGTAGCAGATTCCCCCAGTAACGAGACGACACTTTGTTTCGAGAGTCAAGCAGAACCGACTGTGCTGGCACATACAGCCTCTTTTATTCACAATCCACAAACATAGTACTGCCCACGGGGTTTTAAAATACAACCAATCAATCCGTACAATACACACAGACACTCTCACACAAAATCGTCCCCTCTGCCTGTGATATGATTACTGAACACAATGGTTAATATAATTATCACAGGCAGAGAAATACAGTTTTTACACAATATTAATAACTTCAAAAATATACATGCCACAAACATACTCAGCACACTTTAATTATAAACATATCCAAAATTCAGCCAATTCCATCCAGGGGTTAAAAAGTTAGCTGGAGGTCCCTTTTTATGGCCAAAAGAGTTCCATGGACTTGGGCTGTGCGGTCGGTCTATTTCAGGATGAAAAAACGACTAAGTCCCATCGCCGAATGGGACTTAGTCTCTGCGGCTGCAAAATCATTGTGGGAGAAGGTAAGGCTCAGCGGTGTTCGCGGAACTGTGTAGCCGATTTTAGTTCCATGAATTTGGCTACACACACCGCTGACCGCATTGAATTTGTATGTAATGCTACTCTTAAAAGATTTTATTTTAGTAAAAACAAAGATGTCATTAAAAATACTGACATAGGGGGACGTGGCCAAGACCGCAAGCTGAATGGTCACATAGCCATGAAGCTCCAGCACAACGAGTAGCATCAGAGCCTGCTATAACCAGAGCACCTAGCAAACAGCATCAATAATACCACACAGAGGGTCGCGATGTCCCAAAGGAGCAAACCCAAAGCTGATCGAGCAGCCTTCTTCTTGGCGAGAGCCTCTGCTTTGAAGAATAAGGAAAGCCCCGACCCGAAGAAAGATGGCGGCAACAGTGTTTGAGAGAGGGTTCACCCTCACCAAGCTCCTACACGGAGAAAAGGCCTCTCACTACTACAGCCATGAGAGCGTTCATGTTGGAATTCTCCACCTCCATGCAGGTCACCATATCCAGCCAAATCCAGACACTAACAGCTGACCTACGCAGGGAGATAAAAGAAATCGGCCAGAGAACCTCCCATATAGAATGCATGGGGGAGTTTATTGAAGCCCATAACTCCCTGGCAGATAATCTAAAGATCGCTGACATCGAAGACAGGTCCTGGAGGAAGAGAATTATGGGGATACCTGAAACGGTCCGAGATAATGGACTGCCCTCCTACCCCTCAGACCTTTTCCAAGCACTCACACCGGAGATTCATCCCTACCAACTCCTCGTGGATAGGACCCGTCGCCTTTGCAGGCCGAAACACCTGCCAGCTACCACACCGCATACATTTCTTCCACGCCAAAGAACAAATAATTAAAACTTCAAGGTACTCACCGCTCCTGCACCTATATACCACCTTGAAGCAGTTTGCTAATCTTTCGGCACCTACCCTACAGTTCCGCAAGTCTATGACCCAGACGACATCAGCACTCTGGTCCCAGAATATACTGTACTGGTGGGGATATCCAGCAAAATTGCTAATTCACAGAGATGGTGTGATGCATTCGATCCTTTCGCCAGATGCGGGTCAAGCAAAGCGTCTCGAATGGGGCATTCAGATTACACAGAATAAAGAGAATGGTTCGGTAGTGGTTCAACTATTGCCTGCGTCCAAAAACTAACCGCGAAAGGCAGCGAGAAATGAGGGGTAGCGTGGGTATTGTATGTGCTCAATTGTTTTTGCTCCTTGATGCAGGAGGGCACAAGATGTCTATGCTGACTTGGGTTTTGTAGGTTAATTGATAGAGGGTCTTACAGTTGGCTAAGTTGGGCCATATGCCTAGTGACATCATATATTTGGAGGTTCATAGGCGGTCAATGACAACCAGGACACAACGAGATACCGCTGCCTCCCAGGGGGTCACAAGTTTGCTCACCAAGTCTATGTTAGTTAAAATATATAACCAAAAAAAAAACCCACAAGTACAGAGTTAAGTACATTTTATTGAGGGTTTAAATATAACGGTTTTCATAGTATGCATAACTCAAGACATTCTAATACTGTCCAATACTATGTGACAGCACTGTATCTAGCTTTAACATATCTGGTTATAACATACGGCAGTGGCCAAGTGGTAATTTACTCTCCAATCGGTCCGCTCTCGTTTAGAGTGTAGCCTTTGTTGTTTAAATGTGTTTAGCTGCATGAAATGTTTTAAGGATACTATGTACCTGTGAGTCCCTCAAGTTGGATCTAGGGTTCGCCCATTGGAATTCTTTAGGTACCCAAACCGCTATACCCTATCGAGCTTCTCATATCATCAGCCTACAGTTAGGTCTCTGGTGCCAGCTCACGTGCCCGCAGTTTAGTATGACTGCTAAATTCTTCACCTCCACCCCCCAAGACAGTGCTCTTCCAGCACATACTTGGCTCATGTTTGTTGAGCCCACTGTTCGGTTGACACGTATTCCCTACGGTTCTTTCCTGTCCTAGTTCTCTCCCCTCCACTATCCCCCTACCTCCCCACCCCTTAGGGCATCATTACACTGATATATGCAATCAGCTTGGATTAGACTATCACAGGGTACTTCTAGACATATTTTACCACTCGCTACACGAGTCAGAGCCTCCTGTAGGGTCCACGAACGTCATAGCAGGGATAATGTCTCACATTTAGCTAATAATCTGTGCATTTGGGATGAGAGGGGGGCATACCTTCCAGCATGAATCGTACACCCCACTATGAAAATTATGACCCTTAATGTAAAGGGGTTGAATACCCTGGTAAATGACAATTACTGCTTAGGGTCCTGCGGCAAGGAAAAGTAGACATAGCATGTGTCCAAGAAACCCACTTCAAAAACTTGCGAAGCCCCGCTATATTTGCCCAACCAATTCCACACCCTTTCGGAAACCAAATCCAAGGGTGTATCGATTTTTGTTCACAAGGACGTGCTCTTCTCCCTCCAAAAATGAATCACAGATAAACAGGTTAGATTCTTTATTTTGGTATGTCTATTCAACAACGTACTGTACATCCTAGTGGCAGCACGTTAGCAAAACACAACCTATATGGTGGGTGGAGAACAGCACACCCCTCTGAACGTAACTATACTTTTTTTTTATCTAGGGTACATAACACCTATACGTGTATAGATACCTTTTTTGTTGACCAAACGGCACTGGCACAGTTATCCAAATTTGAGTTTGGTGATATCACATGGTCTGACCATGCTCCTGTTTTTTTTACATCTACATGACACTTTAAAATATAGAAGGAGAGGTCAGTGGCGGTTGAGCGCATCCCTGCTTAGCGACGAGAAGTTTTTGGGTAGTATATCAGAAGATCTGGTGAAATACTTTCGTACTAACACACCAGGGGACACATATGACTTTGCGGTGTGGTTGGCACATAAAGCGGACGTCAGGGGCCTTTTTATACAGCAAGCCTCAAAATTGAAGCATAAAAAAAAAAAAAAAGACTGGAGGCCTTCTTAGAATACCATAAAAACATAGAAGTTACATCACGTCACAACAAACAAAACCCTACCCCCGAGCTAGCTATGAAACTGAAAACTCATCATCAACTGATAAAATAATTCATTACCATATGACCAAACTTAAAGCCAAGGTGTACCATAATAGCGGTAAAGCGAACAAACAATTGGCAACCAGACTTAGACACAAGACCGCCTCGTCCCAAATAGGTTGTGTGTTGGGGAGGGTGGAGTGAAGAGACTGGGGCCACAGGAGATAAGCAATGATTTTGCCAACTGTATGCTTCAATTTTGAGCATAAAATTATCCACGGTATCTCCACTGGTAGACAGAATCAAGCAGGCACAAAGCAGGTAAAATCCAGGTAGCATAGTTACAATCCCTTATTCCCAAGAACTAGACGACACATAGCTTGGAGGTCAACTGAGGTTTATTTTCAGGTCACGGTATTTATGGGATTCCCCATGCAAGGGGTTTCCCTACTGACATTTCAGGGGTTTTACAGTAGGGGACTACATGGGGAACTGACCAACACATACCATTTTTCCATCATGCACTGCTGGACGAGAGGGATACTCCCACTGGAATATACTGTTAATGGGATTATCCCTCCGTGCAGCAGAACTTACATTTTACATTAAAATACATAACTTTAACAATATTCACTAGTTTTACACGAATGGATATTTGGTAGATAGCTGGAGGCTGAGCGCATCGTGCGTGAGAATACCGCTCAGCTCCCAGTCTAACTAACCGAACACCGTACGAAATACACATAATTTCTAACATAGGTTTTAAAATACCGATTATCGTAAGGGGAATAAACTACCGAATGGCCGAGGTTCCAGAATGGCCTGGAAGTCCAGCGGTGTTCGCGCCGTCGAGTAGCCGTTTTTACTTCCAGGTGCTCGACGACAAAACACCGCTGGGCTAACAAAAGAAACAAGATGGCCGACCGCCGCATGGTCGGTATTCGAACGACGGCCACCTAGAAACACTCTTAATTACTGAAATTGGTTAATGGGTGCCACACGACCCCCTGTGTGTGGTCGTGCGTTCGGTATGTTATGCGTTTCACGAACAGTGTTTAAACTCACTGTTCGTGAAACTTCATTATGAATGCTGGGGTTTTCATACCGCCAGCATACGAATGCCCTCATTCGCCTGAAATACAAATAGCATTGATTTTTATGGCTTAGCAAAATTACACACATCCTGATAGATTGATAGTCTCTGGTGGCTAGTTTTGCCACACCAACTATTATGGGAAACTATATAATTTAGCGGATAACGACAATACGCACCAGCCGACATCCCTAGAAATTGCAAATTATCTGGAGGGAATCGCTCTCCTTACTCTTGAGAGAGACCACAAACTCTCCCTATTAATGCTTATCACTCTCTCAGAGATCCTAGACGTCATTAAGAACCTCCCTCTAAGTAAATCCATAGGGGCAGATGGGCTATCCAATGCATATTACAAGCACTTCACAGATGTTCTAGCGCACTCAGAACAGGCTCCCTACCACTGGAGACTCTGTTAGCAACTATTGTCACGATCCCTAAACCAGACAAACCTCTCTATGATTTTAAAAACTATAGGCCCATCTCCCTATTAAATACAGATGCCAAGATATATGCCAAAATATTAGCCAACAATATTGGCCCACCACTTCAATCTCTGATACACTCAGATCAAACAGGATTCGTACAAGGTAGTCTTATAAGAGGTGCTGGGTAGATATGGTTTCCCACCCCAGGTAATAAAGCAGATTCTAGCCCCACGGTTTCCCGTCACCTACATCCCTGACACTAATGGTACTAGACAGGGGTGTCCCCTGTTCCCCCTCCTTTATGTTTAAGCATTGGAACCCCTGCTTTAAGCCATTAGGACGGACCCCGATATTAGACGAGTTAAAATACCAGGGTATGAAATTAAAATCAGTGCCTTTGTGGACAACATCCTCCTATACATCACAAGCCCAAAACAGTCCCTTCCGAGACTGATGCACCTCATACGTTTACGGCAAAGTCTCCTATTACTCTCCTATTACTCTCTTAATACGACCAAGACACAGGCATTAAGCATAGAGATCAAACATCGATGGTGCAAACCCTTCAGCAAGGTAACTAAAAACTGTCGCCAACCATGTCAAAGTGTACACAATTTATGAGACAATGGAAATTATTATTCCCATTATAGGCGGAATGTATCCTAGCCTTTAAAATGTCACAGTTACCTAGACTTCAGTTCCGCAGCCTCCCCATACATGTACCAAATTATTTTTTTAAGATTGCCCACAAAGACCTATTGGACTTCATTTGGGCATACCACAAACCACAGGTAGCTAAAAGTTTATGGAGACCTCCGACTAAAGTAGGTGGACTAGCAGTACCAAATCTCCAGACGTATTACAATGCCTTGATATTTGCAACATCACTGGCTCTTTTTGTAAACCAACCTCCCCCCAATGGGTGGACTTGGAAAACAAAGCTCTTCATCCACACAAATTGACTAATCTTCAGTGGTTACCCGCATCCACCAGACCTATAACAAAAACTATCCCACCTGAGATCTCTCATTAGCAATGTCATACTGGCACTCCTGTATATTATAGATAAATAGAAATAGGTATAAAGACCTACACGTACAAGGAGATGCCTAAACCAATAGAAAATGGAGTCTAAAAAACATAAAATCAAAATATAAAATATTGAAAAGAATTAACAATATCAGACATATGAATGAAATACAATTATAAAAATAAACACTAGATGTCAGCCAAGTGCTAGGTGATCTCCCATAAAAGGAGGATATTCACTAAACCATCAATAATCTGCAAACTTGAAGTGCAAATGAAATAAAACCAAATAAATCCAAATTTTAACCTGGATGGTCTATGGCTGAAATACATATTAATACAGTCTCATTTATCACTCAGTAGTCCAATAATTTGTAAAATGAGTCTAAAATGTGTGATATAACAGTAAAAAGTCTGTGACTAGTGTTCTGGATACCAGAGTTTGGTTAATGCAAGGATTTAACCTGGTATGAATTTATTTCACTGTCACAGTTAACACATTTAGTGACTATCCATTGAAAAAGATAATAACAAACATGTGTCAGACTGTAAATACAGTATACCCGGTATTGGTAAAATGAATGCAGAATATGCTACAGTGTTGCATAAACGATACTTTTACTCACATACCACTATATCAAGTATATGGTAATGATAATTGGTCATAGATCTAAGTTTAAGAAAAAATAAATCTAAATTTTACCCATCCAGTTTTAATTCAGTTCTAGTGCACTAGATATCTTTGAAAAAAAAAGTGTGCAAAGACTTACGTACATTAAATAAGAAAAGAGGTGACAATTTTATTATGACTAAAAAGTAAAGACAGTTTAAAAGAACTACAAAGAGATGAGACAATTGTCAAATCAGCAGATACGGGTGGAGGCCTCATGATTCTGTCGAAACAAATGTACGAAAAAGAGGCATACAGACAACCAAATAAACTTAATTTTATATATATATATATATATATATATATAAAACTAGATAACGACCCCACTCCAGATATTATAATTTTACTAAAACAATATTTAGATAAAGGGAAAAGAGACCACCATTTTAAATATAGATGAATTTAACTAAATATTTTGCACCCTATAATTCTGGTAATTTATTTTTTGCCAAAAATCCATAAAGATATCAATAAACCCCCCCAACGTCATATCGTTTCTGGCATTGGCTCAATTCTTTCGAATGTGTCGGAATACATCGATATTATGTTGCAACATTATGTTAAAGAAGCAAATCCTATTTTAAAGATACAATGGACCTCCTTAATAAGTTGGAAAATATTAGCTGGAAAGAAGGCTATGTTCTTATAACTTGTGACGTTCAATCACTGTATACCATAATTCCACACAAGGTTGCAGTGCTGTCAAAAAAAAAATTATTTTAGAAACTGATTACCCACTCAATAATAATAAAAAATAAGTTTTATAATTGAAGGGATCAAAATGATTTTAACTAATAATTATTTTTGGTTTAATGATGCCTGTTTGAAAATATGATTCATAGAGCTTTTTATGTTGTAATGCATGTTAAAATTCTAAATAAATATATTTGTATCAAATTAAAGAATTCTAGCAAATATATGCTTTTCAATATAGGTTTTCTTCAATAAATTTTTTTCATATAAATGTCGCTATGTACTACGATTATAATATTTGTATAAAGAAATCTAATTTTGTCCTCTTTTTATTCTGTTTAAAATATACAAACATTTATCAATGCTGCCACTAAACAGAACGGCCAATGAGAACTTTTCCGGCCTTATGACAGGACACCCAGAGCAGTTTATTGATTTAAGCCTCATCTATGTACTCCCCCCACACCAACACGTCACTTCCGATGACATGCACAATACGGACTTAATTTCCTATGACGCGAGCAGACAAACAAATAAATATCCCACAATGCCACTATACAAGTGAGTCGCAGCGCGTCTTTTCCAGGCGACGCGTGCGACTCGAATAATCAGGAAGTTATTCAGCACACCTATTTCTACTGATTGGATATCAACCACCTACATAAACTCTGACATTCTGAGGATTATCCACACTTCTGAGGAAGCCCTGCTGGAAGAAAAGCGTAAAGTGTGACTTTAGAGAAGTTCATTATATCTATATATTTTATCCATTTGTAATCTAACTTTTATCTACTATATATTACACAAATAAAATTAATTAGAAGATTATATCCAATTTTTTGTTTTGCTGCTAAACAACTATCCTGGTTCCCATACATTCTTCTTTAAATTGTAGGTAGGATACCATTTTTTTTTTTCTGTGCACCATATATATTCTTACATTTTTGCACTATTAGATCTTTCTGCTTTGTTTTATGTGTTGGAGTGGTATTGGAAACCCAAGATTGTGAATCTACACACATCCTGAGATGGGATTGTACCGTCCAAGTGCTAAACAGCAGAGCTCTTAGTAGCTCATAAAAGTGTGAGTTAGTGAGGGACCTGTCAACTCATTGTCATCAGAGTTGTGAGTGAGAACACTACTGTAAATACGAAATCATGGCAGTTCGGGCTTCCTTTAAAAAGGACAACGAAATTGGATGTTTTGAATAGCTTACTGCCTAGTAGCCATTGGGGGGTAATAATACAACTGATCAAGAGCTTCAACATATTAGAAACAGTATGCCAGACTCGGTACGAATCCAGAGAGTGGAGGAGTGGCTATCTGCCTTAGGAAATGTCAGTTTGCAACAAGTACGTCGCACTCGTTCACCCAGATTTTGACAAGGAAACAGAAGAGATCTTGGCAGATGTCCTTAAAGTGGAAGTATTTAGACAAACAGTAGCTGATCAGGTTCTTGTAGGAAGTTACTGTGCAATCAGTAATTAAGGTGGTTTAGTACATCCTAAAGGATGAGTTGAGTTATCTTCTCTTCTACAAGATCCCTTAGTGGCTGGAACAGTAAACCATGGCAGTGAAGTGATTGCAGCAGGAATGGTTGTTAATGATTGGTGTGCTTTTTGTGGCCTGGATACAACAAGCACAGAACTCTCTGTAATAGAAAGTAAGTTCAAACTACATGATGCACAGCCTAGTACCATTGCTACAAACACGAGAGATTCTCTTATTGACAGCTTAGCAGAAAAAAGCAATCCTGTTGATTGCGGAGGACATGAAAATAGTACCGGATATAAAAGCATATAAACCATCAAAATATTGCATGAAGGAGTCAGAAAGGGGGAGTAAGAGGAATAGTATTTCCTTTCAGGAAGTCCTGCATAAATTTGGCCTATTTGACATCTGGACGGCACAACACCCTAACGATCGCGGTATTACTTTTGGAAATAAAAAATGGATATATATACCTGATCTGATCATGCCCCATTACTTGTACAGATAGTGGATAATGGGCTGATGGAGGGCAGAACTTCCTGGAGGGTGAATGAAGAACATATATGTTCGGATGAAACGCGGAAGTATCTGCTAAGACAGGCTGAAGAATTATTTTTGAATAACGACAATAATGAGGTTAGTAGAGACACATTATGGTGTGCCTTCAAAAGCTTCATGCAAGGTATTCAAATCAAGTTGGGGGCCCAGCGCAAGAAATCCTGTGGAAAAGATTTAAATGATTTGTATATTGTTTTAGCTAAATTTGAGCAGGAAAATAGCTCAAATCAGGGAGACCCAATTGGAAATAAGAAATAAATTAGAAATAAAAACAAAAAACACCATAATAAAATTCAACCAACGTTGGTACCATGGGGATACTAGAGTTAGCAAGCATTTTTTCAGACAAACATACGTTTAAAAAAAGAAGCCAAATAATCAGGAAGATAATTGAGGGAGACAAAGTTAATATATCTCCTTCAAATATAGGTAAAGCTTTTACCTCATATTACAGGGCTCTGTATAAACTTCCATCGGAACAGGCAACCTCAGAAGCAAGCCGCGAGTTTCTCAAAAAATTTTAATTACCAAGATTGGGCAAGGATGACATGAAGAAACTGAGTTCTCCTCTGACCCTGGATGAGATCTCTAAATCTATTAAAGATCTTAAGGAGGGAAAATCCCCAGGGCTGGATGGTTATACAGCCCATTTCTATTAGATAATGGAGCCTACCATAGATCCAATCATACTAAAAGTATTTAAAGAAATAGATAAGGTTTGCCCGTTCCCATTGGAGATTCTACAAGCCTGTATAACCCCGATTCCTAAAGCCGACAAAGATCATAATTTCGTCACTAACTATCCCTGATGAATGCCGATATTAAAATATTTTCCAAGATCCTGGCGGAGAGATTAAAGGATTTCATTCCCAAATTAGTTCATCCTGATCAAACAGGCTTTGTTAAGGACCATGAGTGAGGCGATAACATTTGCAAATTGTTACATCTGATCCATATCTGCAAATCTATTTCCTCCCCGGTGGCCTTTGTGGCTCTGGATGCCGAAAAGTCCTGTGACAGAGTTAGCTGGCGCTGTCGGATGTCTTGGAGGTGTTCAGAGTTACAGGGCCTATACTGGATAGGATTATGATTCTTTACACTGCTCCATCTGCCAGGGTCACGGGAACTGGGTTCAAATCAGAAAGGTTTGGGGTAACTAATGGGCGAGATGTTATATGCACTTTCAATAGAATCCATGGCAGCTTATATAAGGCAGGAGGATGAAATCATAGGAATTCACTATGGCGACCAGACTTCAAAGATCATGCTATATGTAGATGAAGTAGTTCTGACACTTTCTGATTCAGAAACCTCTGTTGGCAGTTTTGAAATCCATTTATGATTTTGGTAGAATCTCTAACTAAAAATTGAATTAAAAAAAAAATTTAAAAAAAAAAGGACACAAGTTACTAAGACACTCCATAATACTATCCCATTTGATTAAATGTAAATTTAAAGTCCCAGAAAATTGTTTATGGTTAAGTTATGAAAGACAAGTTTTATCCAACAAGAACCCCCTTTTCTTACTTTGGGCAGATAACTTTGCTATAAAACGACTTAATGTGGAAAATAAAGTCTTAGGTGAAATTTTTCATGGTACCCATCTTGTAAGACGGAAGCATAATCGTAAAGAATGCATCTCCTTGGATGCTCTTATAGAAGCTTTGTCCTATATCTTGATAATATAAATATAATATGTTGGTTAAATGCTAGCATTGTATATATTGGTGACCTATTTGACGGAGTGATTTTTAGACCTTTCACTACTCTATGTATAAATCATGGAATACCTTACTTAACTTTAAATTATTTTTTTTTAAATAGGGAAATTAAGAGCGGTAATAAGCTGGATAAACTCTATGACCTAGATAATTGATCCAATGTGTCTTCTAAGATTAGAGAATTATTGTATACAAGCAAAACGGGTACAAAGCTTCGCGGAATTATGAGATGGGAAAGGGAGCTGAGCACAGAATTTGTATACAGTGAATGGGTTACCGCTTTAAATCTGACAAAATAAATAAAATAAAAACCTATTCGTAGTATTTCACTGTTAGAGAGTTATCTAAAAAATTTACACAGATGGTATCTGACACCAGACAGGTTAAGTAACTTTCAACCCAACATTAGTGATCTTTGTTGGAGATGCGAGAGGGAAACTGGAACTATACGGCATATATGGTGAGAATGTACCTGCCTATTACCTTTGAAGGTCAAGTTAGAAAATTAACTTACAAATTTAACACAGTCCCATATTGAACTGACCCCACAACTCTTTTTGTTCCATTTGGATTTCCCCAAATTGGAAGAAGAACAAAAAATGCTAATTGTGCATATATTAATGGCCACCAAAGTCTGTTTGGCGAGAAAATGGAGATCTGAGGCGATCCCTAAATGGACTGAAATAGCCTCACAGATTAACTATCAGAGATTCATGGAGAAAGCTGTATATGTTAGCCTTGAGAACTTGGGGTTTTATAATGACACATGGAGACTGTGGCCTCTGGTTACAGACTTGCCTGAGACTCCTTCCAACTGACGCCTCCACTCTCACACTGGGACAGGTAACCATGGTTGTGTGAATGGAGTTTGATTTTCAACGTCAATGTATTTGTAATAGATACTTTTAATAGAATTACACTATCATTTTATTAGATTTAAAATAAGTTTTGGATAATGGAAAAGGAAAGGAAACTGAGGGGAAGAGGGAAAAATGGTGGGAAGGAGGGAGTGAAAATGAACAAAGATCGCAGCAAATAAAACTCTCTAATTTTCCTACCCTTTTGATCAATTCCCGTTAGCATCATAAATATTTAAATTACTTATTTCATCACTGAGAAATTGACACAATGATGATACACAAGAATAAAAACTGACCAGCTTATAACTTCTAAATCTGTGTGTCATAAAAAAAGAAATACAAAACCAAAAGTATTTTACTCCAAGGAGAACAAGTATAAATATTTATTCACAACACACCACTGGGTCACTTAAGATTGATTTCACCCGTGTGATTTTCTGGTTGTGTTTGGTGTGGTTTATCACTTGTTTTGTCACATTTCTGTATTTTATGCAAGGTTTAGGAATCCTTGTAGATTTACTGGTGCATGTCCATATTATAGAAAGCGCCTATATCTGCCTTTTTTTAATCTACATTAATATATGCACATATATACTCTGATACACACAAAAATACACACAAATATACACACGTTCATGTGCTCACACATACACTCCAAAAACATTCACTGATACAACTGCCAGAATATACAAACAGACACAGGAATTCATTGCCACCACACAGTCTCAGAAACAAACAGATACACAATGTCTGACATATATACTTACATAGACATCAAAGTAGGACATCATTCCAGCAGAAACACACCCACGCACACACAAACCGTTATAAAAACACCACACACAGATTTAAAAATTATTGATCCCACTAGGGCAGTGGTGGGCAATCTGCGGCCCTCCAGATTTTTTGGACTACGTCTCACTTGATGCTTTGCTAGCATTATGATCCTAAGAGCATTATGGGAGATGTAGTCCAAAACATCTGGAGGGTCGCAGATTGCCCACCCCTGCACTAGGGGGAAAAAGCTGGCAATGTATTATTATAAACTGAACAGTGGTTTGATAAATATCAAATTGAAACCACCCACATTTACCCTGGTGGTGTAGTGGTGACTGTGCACCAAAACTCTTGTCAGCAGCCATCATGCTGCTTCCCTGCTTCATTATGATGTGAAGTGTAATGCCGCATAGTAATAGAGCTATGCTGTTAATGCAGTTTGCTTCTTGCTCTAGGAGTTACAGCACACTATCACTCTGCCCTCAGCCAACTTTAAGTTCCCAGTCAGCCTCAACCACCCTCTGATCAGTTTCTCCTCCCCTGAAGGGAGGGTGGCTGTCCATTTACTGTATACAGCTGTTCCCTGTGAATACAGTGAGAGAGCAGAGGAACAATGGCAGCCTAAAAGCATACTTTAGCAATCATGTATAGGGCTAAATGGCAACATAAATGGGAACATAAATATTTTAAGACACTAAAAAATAAAAAAAATAAAAAGTAGCAGTACTGGTGCTTAAGTTATACATACGCTTGTATAAGACTGGCCAGGTCATTAGGAGATGGGTTTGCAGAAGCCGCTGCTGCTGCTGCTGCTGCACCAGCCATTGGATTATGAGCACCAGAGATCATTCCTGACATTCTGTAGTAGTGAGAATAAAAGAATATGTATTTAAAAAAAAATTAAAAAAAACACCACACCACACAAAGAAAAACCTTCAAAACAAAGCAAGAAGTGTGGTTGGTAACACTCTCACAGATTATAGACATTGAAGGTACTATATATACTAGTAGTGATGTCCCGAACGGTTCGCCGCGGACAGCGAACATATGCGGTAAACTTTGACCCTGTACCTCACAGTCAGCAGACACATTCCAGCCAATCAGCAGCAGACCCTCCCTCCCTGACCCTTCCACCTCCTGGACAGCTCACTAAGAATGCAGCTTCACAATGAATGTAAAATAGATGCTGTCCAAGAGTGGGAGGGTCTGCTGCTGATTGCCTGGAATGTGTCTGCTGACTGTGAGGTACAGGGTCAAAGTTTACCACATATGTTCACCGTCCGCGGCGAACCATTCGGGACATCACTATTTACTAGATAAAAATTATTAGAATGACATAGAATAATATAGAATTGATTTTTTTATGCTTGCAAATCTAGAAAAATAGAAAACTAGGATCAGACATGCTTGACTTTCCTTTGACTATTACATGCATCTCATTTACAGTACCCACCTAAAGGAAACAATTTGTTCAGTGTAGTTGTTTAGGCTTAGCATATTTCAAATACATATGTACTGCGTGTACAACAGCTTCTACTTACTTCTGTGTGGAAAATCTACAGTATATTAAATAGCACATTAAGGGGCACTCATTACAGCAGTTAGGGTACATAAGCGTGCAATGGTCCGTCCACCGGTTGGCAACACACAGTTTGAGCTGTTACAAAGTCATGGCCCTTATTTTGCTGTGGTTCTGCTAATAACAAAATATTTAACCAGGAGAGGTACATTCAGATTGCTCAGGTTTTCAAGTACATCCTGGGTATGTTATTAATGCTAAACATCCTTATTCATCTAAATCTAAGTGGTAACAATAAAGTAAGTGATAGCCTGAGTGCACTAGGTCAACCAACCACCCATTTCTATATTAACCTAGCCACAGAGGTTGGATATAGATGCTGTCCATTTCTACTGTCAAAGTATGATGACATCGTTTAGCCTTTTTAGCCTACTTGTACAAATTGAGTATAAACTCCCTCGTCTTGCAATTCAGTTGTAAATGCGCCAATACACATATGAACACTGATCAGCATTTTTATGCAGACATGCCCACAGAACAACCCTTTCAATTAAATGAAGGTGATTTGCAGTGTAAGCAGGTCGTGCATTTACGTTTGAATGGGAAAATGATGCTTCCCCCTAGGCCTAGGATATCAGAGAAGAATGGTGGAGTGTGAATGGCACAGGTTAGGCAAAATAACTAAATAACAAAGTAAAAATGTAACTTTCTGTGGATAACTTCCCCCTATTATCACCACTACAATATGCTCTAGTTGTTATGGTGCATAGCATGCCCATACGTATGATAACCCTGCTTCTATGTTTCTTAGTGATTCAAAGCAAAATAATGTAACTATATAATAAATGTGTGGTAAGTAGTACAGTCACTGACTATCCAGCTACTGTACAGCAAGTTATTTGTATCTTTTGTTTACAGTTAAACAGGCACATGTTATGAACATCTGCTTCAGAAAATGTAAAAAAATTAAAATAAATGTAAAACCTTTACATTACAACAATTGTGGACCACACATTTCTACGTTTTGGTTGATGGCTATTGCACAGGTTATAGTGAACTATAGTGTATTGCACTTACAGTTGTTGTACCTGTGGATTGTTCATGAGGTTTGATGCCTGTGGAGGGGTAAAAAAAAAAACCATATTATAACACAAATTTTTTATCAAGGTATTGAAAGAGGTGACTTATGTGGAAATTTATAAGAACTAAGTACACCATTAGGCCTTCTGAAAAGAACATTTCGTTTAGGAGGCCAAATATCACTACTACAGTACACTTACCATGTTCATAAAACCAGGATTATTCAGCAATCCTGCTATATCAAATCCTCCAGGAGCAGAAGTCTACAGGATAAAAATTGCATGTTTAATTTTGCAAATAGTGATATCATACACGAGACTAGAAATGGAAAATAAGATACTCACTGGACTTGGGATCTCTTTCATCTTCTGTTCAGCAATCTTAAGGTTTATTTTGTAGGTGTCATTGTCTGGGTCAAGTTCAAGCGCTCTTTTGTAAAATTCAACAGCTTCTGCATGTTTGTTTAAACTGGAAAGTGCAAGGCTAGAAGAAAGGAAAACGTGTCTTGCAATGAATATAGTAACATTAAATAAAATATTCCTATTACCAGAGAGCAGTTTTGATTATGCTAGGTTTGAGTAGATAGATAGAGATATTGACAGATTATCGGTTTGGCCAATATTATGAGCTGGTATTAGCCATCATGGCAAATATCGGTATCAGCCTAATATGAGGACCCCAGCCATCAAAGCTCTGCATGACATACCAGGCCCGTGAAAGGACCTGGGGGAAACAGAAGATTGCTGTGCTGGGTCCCAGCTGCCCCCTTTGAAAATGTGAAACTCCCTGGCAGCGTGCACAAAGCCACTGAACGACCAAGGAGGGCAATGTCCTTCTCCTGGCCACAGGTTAAGGGCAGGGATGGGGGAATAAAATGAAGAATACATATAATAATTACAAACACACACACAAAAAAAAAACACTTTTAGATTAGCTGCCCCCTTATCGGTTTGAAAGGTCACATATTAATATTGACCCTAAAAAATAAATAAAATACAATCATTATCGGTCGACCCCTAATTTTAAATACACATGCATATATAGTTAATACAATAAAAACAGGGGGGTAGGTGCAGTGCTTCAGTAATCCTTGACAAGGTATATGTGAAGAGAACCAGAGAAGAAATAATAGTGTAGCATTTAAAATTGCAGTTGTGATAGGTAAAATAAAAGATGTGCACTCACACTTTCCTGGAGCTTCAATACAGCTCCAGTGTATGCGCCTGGGCGGAATAAGCCCACCTATGGATCAAGTGCAGAGGTAAATCTTCAAATTATAGGTGGTAGGGGGCATCCTATAAAAAAAGAAAAAGAAAATCGCATATGGTGAAGTATGCAGAGTTATGAAGCAAGGGTAGGTAAAAACTATAAAATAAAAATTTTATAGTTTTTACTTACCCTTGCTTCATAGCTCTGCATACTTAACCATATACGATTGTTATTTGTTTATTTTTTTATGAGGATACCCTCTACCACACCTATAATTCGAAGAATTACCTCTGCACTTGATCCATAGGCGGGGATTATTATTATGAAAAGAGAGACTCTGTATTGGTGTTCTAGCTGATTTTGGACTATTATCACTTTGCTTCCACGCGGAAGTTAATGTTAAATGTTACAATGTTAAACAAAGATCTGCACACCAGTCAAGTCATAAGACTTGCTTTTCCCACAGAAATCACAAATTTGCAGTAATGTTACTACCGCAAAGGATTCTGGGTGGGCATATGCAAATTAGTTAATCAAGGAATAATATTTTTGCCTCATTCCATTTTAAACATGGATTCCTTTGAGTCTTTGTTTTCTGTATACAACAGCTTTGAAACACAACTTAGGAAATGATGCAAAGCCAGTGAACCACTCATGGACAGCTGATTTGTTGTTAAGGCAACTCATCAGCATGAGGTTACTTACTGGCTTGGTGTGCACTTTTGTAATTGTTTGCGCTGCCCTAATTTTTCCCATTTTTGTGGATTACTTTACCCTGTTTGAAGCTGCAGAGGGAGGTGTCAGCAGCACAATAGGAAATGTTTGTATTTTGATTTTATGTGGGTACTGCAGTAACCCTTACCTCAGCTATATACTGGTACAACCACCACAATCTACATGCCACTTATTCTTTAGTGACTTTTTACCGCATACAGCCCTTACAAGCTCATGCTGCATAAGTTACACACCTACTCTGCCTCGTTAGGCTATGCGTGTTTTTTTTCCCCTGCCCAGAACTCACTTGGCCATGCTACTGTAAATCCTAAATACATCTTTTTCATGGTAGGTTTTGCTGTCCCACCATATTTTAGTCACATTTTGGCTTTATCACAAGACATGATCACACGTTGCATGACTGAAAAGAGACTTGCGTCCAACAAGTTCAGCCTCCCCCACATTTTTTTTTTGCTGTTGATTCAAAAGAATGCAAAAAACCTAGTCTGCAGTGCTTCCAATTTTGCAACAAAACTATGAAAATAATTCCTTCTTGACCCCAAAATAGCAGTCAGATGTCTCCTTGGATCAAGCAGCTATTACCCCACTAATTAGAAATTATATCCCTGTATGTTATGTTTTTGTAAGTATTTATCCAATGGCAGTTTAAACATTTGTATGGACTCTGATAAAACCACCTCTTCAGGCAGAGAATTCCATATCGTTATTGCTCTTACTGTAAAAAAAAAATTTCTTTGCCTTAGATGAAATCTTCTTTCTTCCAGCCTAAATGCATGACCATGTGTCCTATTTATAGCATGGTTTATGAATAGATTTTCAGATAATGGTTCGTAAGGGCCCCAAATATATTTGTATAATGTTATATCCCCTCTGAGGCGCCGTTTTTCAAGAATAAAGAGATTTACATTTTTTAAACTTACTTCATTACTTAAATGCTCCATTCCTTTTTTTCAATTTTGTAGCTTGTGTCTGCACTTTTTCTAGTGCCATGATATCCTTCTTTAGAACAGGTGCCCAAAACTGCACAGCATATTCAAGGTGTGGTCTTACCAGCGATTTATAAAGAGGCAAAATTTTCATCCTGAGAATTTATGCCCCTATTTATACATGACAAAACCTTATTGGCCTTAGCAACTGCAGATTGACATTGCATATTGCTGTTTAATTTGTTGTCTATAACAGTTCCCAAATCCTTCTAGTGTGTGGTTATCCCTAATTCACTACCATTTAAGGTGTAAGTTGCTTGTGCAGTCTTGACACCAAAATGCATAACTTCGCATTTCTCTACATTAAATTTTATCTGCCATTTTAGTGCCCAGTCCCCCAATCTATTCAAATCCCTCTGCAGCAAAGAAATATCCTGCTGACATTTTATTACTTTACAAAGTTTTGTGTCATCTACAAACACTGAAACATGACTTTCAATGCCTATTTCAAGATCATTTATAAATATGTTAAATAGAAGCGGCCTCAAAACAGAACCCCTGAGGGACACCATTTACCACTTTTGTCCAGCCTGAACATATACCATTAATGACAACTTGTTGTACTCTCTCCATAAGCCAATGTTCTACCCAAGAACAATAATATTCATATGGACCAATTTTTTTTTTTATTTTGAAGACTAACCTATTGAGGAACCGTATAAAATGCCTTGGCAAAATCCAAGTAGATCACATCCACTGCAACACCCTGATCTATACTTCTTCTTACTTCTTTGTAGAATGCAATTGGGTTAGTTTGACATGATCAATGTTTCATAAAGCCATGTTGATTATTGCTAATAAAGTTTTTCCCAATGAATTCCTGAATATTATCCCTTAATAGCCCTTCAAATATTTTCCCAGTCACAGAAGTTAAGTTGACAGGTCTATAATTTCCAGGCAAGGATTTTGAACCTTTTTAAATAAAGGAACGACAACTGCCTTCCTCCAATCCTCCGGTACAATACCTGAAACAAAAGAATCTTGAAAAATTAAATACAAAGGTTCACTTATTTCCCCACTTAGCTCCTTAAATACTCGTGGGTGAATACAGTCAGGCCCCGGAGCTTTATTTACATGAATTTTCTTTAACTGCTGTAGCACCTGGTCGCGAGTCATCCAATCACAAGTTATCTGCAAGTTTTTTTCAGCAATCATTTGCATATCTCTTCCAATCGGATCCTCATTAATATATACTGAAAAAAAATAGGTATTTAAAATGTCTGCCTTTTCCTGGTCTTCATTAGCTAACAGATCCATCTCTGTTTTCTGTGTATTTTTTTAATTTATGTACTTGAAAACTTTTGGGGTTGGTTTTGCATTCTTTGGCTATCAATCTCATTTTCTAGTTTAGCCACTTTAGTTGCCTTTTTGCAAGCATTATTGGCTTCTTTATATATTATATAGGATGCCTCTCATTTGTCCTAGTTAAATGATTTAATCTCTTGTTTTTACTTCTCTACTAAGCCACATTGGTTTCAATTTGTTTATTTTATATTTATTACCCAATGGTATATACACCGAGAAATGTACCTTTCTAATATTTGTTTGAATAGTTTCCATTTATTCTCAGTGTTTTTTTCACGAAGGAGTTTATGCCAGTCGATATGTTGTAAAGCTGCCCTAATCTTATTGAAATTGGCTTTTGCTTTTTTGATTATTTGAAAAATTACCATATTTTATAACCCTTTTCCAAATGCTCCCCTACTTGAATGTTGGTCAAAAGATCAACATTGTTTGTTATGAAGAGATCCAGACAAGCATCCTTTCTAGTTGGTGCTTGTACCAGTTGTGACATGAAGGTTTCATTTAACACATTCAAAAACCTGATTCCCCTTGCTGAAGTACTAGTCAGTCTATCCCAATTTATGTTCGGGTAATTAAAATCTCCAATAATTAACTTGTTACCCCGATTTGCAGCTTTCCCAAATTGTTCTAACAGCTGTTCTTCCTCAATAATATTTACATTAGGTGGTTTATAACATATCCCAACCAATAATTGATTTCTCTTTGTTTGCCCCAAGCAGATATCTACCCACAAAGCTTCTACATTTTCCTCAGAACACCCGACATGCCTAAGATTTGACTTTAACTCATGGTTCACATAGAAACATACCCACCCTCCTTGTTTTTCCTATCCTTCCTAAATAACGTGTACCCATTTAAGTTAACTGCCCAGTCATGTGTCTTATCCCACCATGTTTCTGTTATGCCTATTATATCATATTGTTTAGTGTATGCTATTGCCTCTAGTTCCCCCATTTAGTTATATAGGCTCCTTGCATTAGTAAGCATACATTTAATATCATTAGTCATTTGTACTTTTTGTGAATTTTTATCAATATTACATACCTCCTCTGTTCTGAGCTTTCCCATCCCCCCATCTCCACCCCATTATACTGAGCTAAAGCCCATCTCCCTTCTATCCTATCTCCATTTTTTAGATTGGTTTGACCCTCCCCCTACTACTAGTTTACAATCTCCTCCAACCTTCTAGCCATCTTATCCCCCAGCACAGCAGACCCTCTTCTGTTTAGGTGAAACCCATCATGACTATACAGGTTGTACCCAAGCGCAAAATCGGCCCAGTGATGTAAAAATACCAAACCCTCTTTTCTGCACCAAGACTTCAGTCACACATTGACCGCTCTAATCTCCCGCTGCCATTCTGCTGTAGCGTGCGGCACAGATAATATTTCTGAAAATATTAACTTGGAGGTCCTTTTCTTTAGCTTTCTTCCTAGTCCCCTGAACTCATTCTTTAGGACCTTCCATTTTCCTCTGACTTTGTCATTGGTACCAATATGGACCATGACAGCTGGGTCATCACCAGCTCCTCCCAATAATCCCACCACTTTGTCGGCAATATGCCGGACCCGAGCACCCGGGAGACAGCAAACTGTCCGGTTGAGATAATCAGAGTGGAAGATTACCCCATCTACTCTCTTAATAATAGAGTCCCCTACCACTACAACCTGTCTAGCCTTCCTTATCCTCTCAACCCTACCCATACTAGAAGGGCTGTTCCCACAGCTGTTAGAAGAAACAGCTTCCTGCAGTACAGCTACTCCTGAGCTGATGCTCCTAACATCTTCACTGAAACTGGCAAATCTGTTAGGCTGCACAAGATCAGGACTAGCTAAACCTTTAGTGAACAGCAGACTCCTCTCAAGATTGTCAATCTCCCTCAGTGTTGCAATTTGCCTCTCAAGATTTCCAATCTGAGCTTCCAGAAAAGCCACTCCCTCACACCCACAACTGAGGTATGCACCCTGGACAAATTCATCCAGGCATGCATACATGCAGCAGGATTTGCATTAAGTAAAACTCAATCTTGTTAGCACTCATTCCCAGTTCTTAAAACACAAGTGAGCAAAACAATATTAACCCTCTTTGTTTGTTTAAACTCTTGTTTTTTTCAACTCCTATGTAAAAGAGATTACTTTAAATAGCCTACTTTCACGCAAACTCCAGTGAGCAAGTTCTGTAAGTCAGTAGTGGGTTTATATTGGCAATACAAATCCCTAGTTAGATCAGCAGTAGCAACCCACAAGGAGGAGAATAGAAACAGCAAGAGAAAAAAAAAAAAAAAAGGAGAGGGAGGGAAGTTTTAAATAAAAACAGCAAGGAGAAAATAAAGATTTACAAAAGGGACAAAGTTTAGGCGCAGGCAGAGAAACAGGAAAACTAATCTGAAAATGAGCAACGAGTGCTTTAAGTGTGGTCGCCCGGGAGTGCCCAACTGGAGGGGGTTGTGGACGTGGTGGAAGAGGTGGCTTTAATTCATCCAGGGGTATCCAGTTAATTTCTTTATCTCTGCCGGATATCTGTTATCGATGTGAAAAATCTGGCAATCTTGCCAAGGACTGTGATCTTCAGGAGGATGCATGCTATAACTGTGGCCGTGGTGGGCATATTGCAAAGGATTGCAAAGAACCAAGGAAGGAGAAGGCTGATACAACTGTGGCAAGCCTGGCCACCTTGCTCGGGACTGTGATCATGATGACCAGAAGTGCTATTCCTGTGGAGAGTTTGGTGCAGTCTTTCTGAATGTGACCAAAGTGAAATGCTACAGGTGTGGTGAAACTGGCCACGTAGCCATAATTTGCAACAAGACCAGTGAAGTCAACTGTTACCGCTGTGGGGAGTCAGGGCACCTTGCTTGGTAATGCACGATTGAAGCTACAGCTTAAACTTCCTTTGTCGCCCCTCCTTTTTCTGATTGATGGTTGTATTATTTTCTCTGAATCCTCTTCACTGGCCAAAGGTTGGCAGATAGAGCTAGTCCCAGGCTTTACTTGACGTGTAAAAGTTGGAAAGGGGTGGGAAAAAAAAACGACTTTTTGCATTTAACTACCAAAAAAAAAAAAAAAGGTTTGTTTAGTTTGGTAGAGGTGTTATGTATAATGCTTTGTTAAAGATCTCCTTTCCATGCCGCTGGTGAATTGGGATTTAATGAATGGGAAGAGTTGAGTCAGACAGTAATACTTTACAGGTATTTCGACAGTGCCTGTGCTAGTGGGGAAGGGCTACTAAAGTGTCTGAAAAATCCCACCATTCAAGTCTGATGGACTCAATGTCCGACCTCAGCTGTTACCTCTTTATCAGGGCCCGGTCTACAGCGTGGGTGGAAACACGTCACAGTCAGCTAGTGGCAGTGTCTAAAACAGGCAGATTAAACCAATTCGGCCACTGAGTTAGCATTGGAGATACAGGTGAAAGCAAGGTTTATTTTTATTTTATTCTTTTGGTTTTTGTTTTCATGGGAATGAGAGAAACCCAGGATGTGTATCAGTTAATTTAGCAAATGAGAAGTCTAAGCTATTCAGGAATGTCAGAGAAATGTTTTCAATAAAATCGAGATGTTATTTTTGTATACTATATTAATTTAGACAACCGTTTGAGTTTCATTTGCTTGTAATCAGTTTAAAAAAAAAAAAAATCAGATGGTTAAAGAAACTGAAGTCCTAGAACATAGAAATGTATATTTAAAACTATCAATAAAGCTGGAGGAGGAAGGGGAGTTTGCCTTTAAAAAAAAAAAAAAAAAGAAGGGGACAAAGTTTAAATAAAATAAGCTAATAAATAAAAATATATATAAGAAAAAGTGGAGAGAAAAAAAGAGAAAAATATAAATTAAAAAAAAGAAAAAAGTATTTTTCTAACAATTTTCAAATCACTGTAAGACCAGTTAATTTATTTCCCTGGGAATTGGAAGTAATCAAAAGAACTTACATGTAATTTTACATTATGCCTGAAGCTTTGTGGCTATATTACTTATTCATACAACTGGTATACATGTTTGTTTCATTTATAGGCTATTTGTCTTTGCTTAGCTATGTTGAGATTTATTTAGTTGAAAAGGATTGCAGTGAGATAACTACTAAAGCTTGAGATACTATACGTTTGCTCAGGTAATTTTTGTTAACCCTTTACTACATTGCATTGGTGTATTCAAGCACAGTTAGTTCCATTCTTCATGTGTTTCCTTATCCTTTAGGTCTTACCTTCTATTTTTTGACCAGTACATTGGCAAGTAGATCTCAATATCAGTTTAGGATGTAGTGCACGCATAATAGATACCTATTGTTGTTAATGTGTCTATAGGTTTCCTCTTTACGATCAATCACGCAAATCTCGGTACCGCACACTACTAATAGTGAAAGGTACATAGATTCCCTGACATACAATCTACCAAACTTTATGTTTTCGTTTCCTTCCACAACTCGTGCACAGGGACAGATCAATGGGCTATAGGACATATCCAATGTCCAATAGTTTAGTTTTAGTTGTAAATCAGTCCCACAAGGCCAACGCCTATTCACACACGGAGGAATTTGCCCATCGGCTCAATTCATAGCTACAGCCTTGCTCCACCTAGTTCTGGGAATATAGTGTCAGGTCACTCATATTGAATCTATTTTACCAAGCGGTCCACATCACTGCTACGTTTTAGTGCTACTGTTCCACGGCCATCATAGAGCCGCTTGGCACCTAGTAGCAACGACTGACCTAAATTAGCACTGATAACCTGGCCTTCTACCTTAACATTCTCCCTTCCACTCACTTTTCCCATCACATGTTTTACGGAAGGATTTATATTACAGTGAGACTACTCAATTTGATTTTAATTTCCCCATTCATTTTCATTTTGTCATTTATAAGCTAAATTTGACCATTTGAAATTTGACAATTTGCTAGAAACATGTACCCAACTAGCATTGTTTCTTTCTAGTTTCTTACATGTCTCCAATCGAATTTATGTGGAGACATTTGTTCTAATTTATTCTCGCTCTATAACCTCACTAAATTTGTCCAAAATATGCTTTCCCTTACCCAAAAGGCCATTCCAAGCCACACCCTCCCCCCCCCACCCAAAATAGCAGAGCTACATAAGCAACGGTCTAAACTCTACCTTCATATCTCACACACCAGTACATTTACCTTCCTTAATACAATATAACCACACCCATTACATGTCCCTGCTCTATAAATTGCCACATCTAGATCCCCAGTCCATGAAAACAATGGATATTGGCTTCAATGTATATTTTATTACATCAAATTTTAGCTTTCGCAGACAGAAAATCATAAGTTGGGAAAACCGTTGCGGGAGAAAAAAAATAAAATAAATTGTATCAAATGATCACTCCAATCACCATAAATACAACAGACCACTAGGTGTGGTGCAAGGAGTGACCTGGCATCTTCTGTATATAAATTGGTTTGACAACTTTCAAGGATACCACTGGGCACCATGCATGGACTCCTCAGCAGCCAATAAGCATGGTCCTGCAGAGATGGGCTTATCTCAATGACAGGAGGTTCTGGCAGCAAAGAAGGTAAGTTGTCAAACTGTTCTTAAAAGGAACACTGCATAGCAACTTCCAGCTCTCCATCATCAGTAGTGGGGGGGGGCTGGGAGTGGACCAAGGTAATCAGTTAAACCATTGGGGTGAATTGCTTACAAATGGAGGGTGCCTGGGGCTTTCCGTCCTCAATAGTGGAGGAGGAGAATCAGCGCCTTGTGAACCAAGGTAAGAATTCAAACTATTGTGGTTGGACTACTTACAGCATTAGGGCACTCCTGGCACCATAACCACTACAGCATACTGTAGTGGTTATGCCACTTGGATTGTTACTCTAAGAGTAAAATAATTCTATCCATTCTTAGCTTACGTATGTGTAGGAAAATGTAAAACATACATGGCAATAATGTATCTCACCAGACAGATAAGAGAAAAACAAAAAAAGTATGGGATAAGGAAAAGGAAAGGGAAAAGGACAGCGAAAATTATGAAAACAATATAGAAAAACAAGAGAGGAGATGAAGAAAATAAAAAAGTTCAAGGAAAAGATGGGAAAATGCAAGGCTTCAGTCATATCTTCAATCTTCCTCAAGTTATGTGAAGTGGAGCACACACGTCAATGTACAATTTATATGGAAGAATGGGTTGTTTTCAGTTTTACCATTTTAAATCAATGTATTATTACTAAAGGGAGGTTGGGAAGGAAGCAGGACTGAAAAAAAGATAGTAAACTACACAGTATTGTGGATGTTTGCATGCAACCTACCCCATTCTGCCATAGGCTTTACTGTAATTAGGGTCGATTTCTATAGCCTCTTCGCAGTCTCTGACAGCTCCAGCATAATTTCCCAGTTTACTGTAAGCTGCAGCCCTGAGCATTAATACAAAGAGTTGTTGAGTAACAGTTAAGATCAAAAATATATATTTGTAAAGATAAATTAAAAAAAACAAAAAAATTATAAATGGTCACATGCAAGCAATATTCCTGACACAGACATACCTGTTGCAGAAATATACAGCATTTTTAGGATTCAGTTCCAGAGCTCTTGTGTAATAGGAAATAGCACTTTCAAAATTTTCTACTTTCATTTGTTCATTACCTGAGTAAAAAAAAAACAAAAAAAAAAAAAACACAAGTTAAATTATGTTAAAGCAGAGAATAGCACCAGAGCACTCTTGCATGGCGATGTTGGTCCATGTATAACTCTAGCAGCTAATTGAACATAAAAGTACAAAAACATGAGTTAATTCAGTTCAAGATACAAAAGTAATTTGCTCAGTTCACATTTTTAAGACATAAAAAGTGCTATACTATTTACCTTCAATCATCCATTTCACATGACATTATTAGGGAAATAAGCTGCTCTCAGAATGTGCACCACAATTACAGACTTGTGCATTCGCAACTCGCAAGTACACCTTACAAATATCACTGCCCAACTGTATATCATATGGTACACTTTCCTAATGTTTAGAGGTCCTTTTTTTTTTAGCTTGCATATGTTGCTTCATTCCATACTGCTTATGATACACAAGGCATTTTCCACTGCATTTTTGCATGTATAAAGATTAGCTCTGTCGACTTTTACATCTCTGCCAAGGAAATGAAAAAGTGCAGAAAACAGTAGGTTTCCCAGTAATATCCTCTCACTGCTTTCCAGTGAAACTCATTGCAGTCTACAGGCTTGAACAAGTGAAAAAAAAGTCTTCTGCATGATAAATGATACCAATGGCTGAGGCACCCATTATGAGAGCTTAGTGGGTGAGCATGCATAAGTATCCTCTGCTTGAACTGTGATCCTCTGGTGTCCTGTTTCTCAAGAATAAACAAAGAAAAAGGAACCTTAGCTTCTGTGCACGGGAAAACTGCCACATCAAAATGGCAGGTGTGACAAGATGTGGCTTGTCTACATTTGTTACATTTTACCTTCTGTCTTTAGTCTTTCTGCTTCTGCAATATCTTCATCAGACAAAGAAATCCCAACAGGATGAACTTGAGTAGATTCCTATATTAAAAGTATAAATAAATACAAAAATAACTTAATAACTTAATAATAGCATTACTCAGTGGCAGAACTAATTAGAACTAAAGCTTCTGATGCTGTCAATAGCATTCTGTAATGAAAGTTCAATTAACAGAACACTAAATTGCTTCTAAAGTAAATACACCGTAAATGGAAGATCTGATTTGAAAATGAAATTTATTTTTTTCGTGGAGGCTGTCTGAGTCACAGCCTGAGGTGTGGCTAGGCAGTGGCGGATTCAGAGCCTGATCTCGGGAGGGGCAATTGTAGATTATTTAAAGAAATAATCCATGCACAATAACCACTACTGATCTGTGTAGTGGTTATAGTACCAGGAGTGCTAGTACACCCCCCCGCCCACCCAGAGTAAGTACTCAAACCGTTTAAGAACAGTTTGACAACTTACGTGGGGTCTGCTGGGATATGGGGCTGTAGTAGAGTATAGCAGCAGTGGTGTGTGTGAGTGGTGCAATGTGTGTGAAAGGTTCAGAGTGTGTGTGTGGGGAGGGAGAAGGGGTGCAGTATGTGTGTGTGTGTAGGGCAGTGTGTGTGTGGGGGTGCTGTGTATGTGTGTGGGGCAATGTGTGTATGGGTGGGGCAGTGTATGTATGGGTGGGGCAGTGTGTGAATGTGTATGGTGTGTGTGTGTGTGGGGGCAGTGTTTTTTTAAAAAAATAAATAAATAAATTTGTGTCCCCCTACCTTCTTATCTTTAATGAGGGAGGGGCGCCATTTCTCGATCCCTGGTGGTTCGTGGGGAGTCCCTGGAGGTCGCAGTGGTGAGAGTGAACTCTAGCCCATAGCTCCAGGGGTAGAGTTCACTCTTGCGAGATCCGGAGCGTTGTCTTGGTAACCGCGGCAACACTCCGTGCTCACGAGAGAAGGACCCGGACTGCCGGCTGAGCTCTCGGGTCCTCTCTCCTTTCCTCCCCTTCCGGCTCCCAGCACTGTGCCTGCGGATCAGGGAGGTCCATTCCTCAGGTTACTAGAGGTGCTTCATGGGGCAGTACGCACCGACATGCCGTGTCACTACCCTCTGCATGGAGACACTGAACTTTCAATGCATCTCTATGATAAGATGCTGACTGGACAGGCCTGTGTTTGGCTTGTGCAGGCTCTGCCCCTGATCAGCCTCCTTGGCAATCTCAGCCAATCCAAAGGGAAAGCATTGTGATTGGCTTAGATCATCACTTCTGATGGTGTCAGCCAAGGAGGTATATCAGGGGCAGTGCCAGCTGCAGCAGACTGTAATAAAAGAAAGATTTTAGCCCTTTAGGACAGAGGAAATTGTACTGACCAAAACAAAACTTAGAATTTAAGTTATGTTTGTTTAACCATATTTACCGTTTTCATATTAAGTGCCCCACATTTTTCTATACTTTAAAAAAAAAAAATATTTATAAGTTGATATATATATATATATATATATATATATGGGGTTACATTAATTTTGAGATCAAGCCATACTGTGGAGGTACAGTGCCATTACTTTCAACAAGTTTGGTATGAAGATGAGTAGCAAGTAATTTAGTTTACATTTCATCACAACATACATTTGCAACAAAGTGGGTGGCCAGACAGCAAGTAAGTAGTTCTATCATGCATATGCAAAACGATTACAAGAATACGTAACTGATCGGTTTGCATTAATACGCGATATGTTCGGCCCTGCAGGACTAAAGGAAGTTACATTCAACTTTGCTCGCATGAAGAAGCATGAAGAAGTATGTCTCGCTATCCCCATGTACCATCATGAATGTTTTATTTATTTTTTTAGGATAAAATTAAGTAGGTAGTGGGAAAAGAACAAGAGGAGTTAAGAAGAGTGAACAGTGGAAAGGGAGGAATGTAAGGAGTCCCGTTATCTGCTGGGGCGGTGAAGCCCAACGACCTCTTGTACGGTCAATCCTCAGCAGTATGTATAACCCTTCCATGGTTGCCAGATTTTTGTGAGGGCGGGGTAAGTGTTGCACACCTGTACAATGAGTTTGTCCATTACATGTGCCTCCTTAATTTTGTTGATGACCCAAGCTGTCAGTGGCATTTCTACATTCAACCATTACATAGCTGAAGAGACTTGCGTGCATCGTGTTTGTGCCATTGCTGTTCTAGCAGCTAGATTGATTTTGTTCATTAACTTTTGCTCACGATTAGTCAGTCCATTCATGGGTTTTGCAAAGAGAAAGGTCCATGGGTTTTTAGTTATTTTCTATAATAGTCCAAAACCGCTCTCCTTTTAGACATGTTCACCGCATGTGGACGTATGTTCCCTTTTCCCCGCACCCCCTCCAGCAACTGTCCGTGGGAGTTTTACCCATTCTAAATTGTGTTACTGGGGTGGTATACCATCTCATGAGAGTTTGACAACATTGTTCTTGGTGTGTCACACACAGAGGCCTTTGCTGTGGCCTTCCATATGTCCTGCCAGGCCCCGCGTTCTAGTGTTTGCTGCAGGTTTGCTTCCCAGAGCAAAACATAATTGGGTATTTTGTCGTCATCTTCAGGCACGCTCAGTTATGTATATAATGTTGTGATTAGGCCTTTTTTAGGTACTCTAAGTCTGCCTTCAGTGGCTGTCTACCAGAAACCAACTAGAGGGCTTCCTGAATCGAAATGGTCGGTATGCGACCCTGGACGTCCTCACACGTTGCATGAGGAAATCAGTCAGATTTTTACCCCATAGGAAAGGAAGGATTCATGCGCATTAGATCCTACTCGTTGTGGGAGGGAGCAGAGCGTCGACCCAGCACTGAGGAACATTGGCGCTGGGATTAAATAAAAGGGTTTTTAACCCTTTATTTACCGGTATGGAAGTGGGGGACAGATCGTGCCAGGAGGAATACAGCTTTGTATTCCTGGCACTACAGTAAGTAGTGTACAGATCATGTGCGAGTGATTTTCGGCAAACAAGTTGTCTGGGTTTGATGTCCATTAGACCCCAAGGTATTTAATATGTTGCCGACTCCGTTTGAGACCTGTCATGGTCCCCAACCATGTGAAGTCCTCAAAGATCTCCAGTGGAATACCCACCGAGTTACCTAGATTGATTTTGTAGCCAGATACCTGTCTGTAGGTTCCCAGGAGATCAAGCAGACAAGGGACAGATAAGACTTTCGGGTCTGTGAGGGTGAGCAAGATGTCGTCCGCGTATGCGGAGACCTTAAATTCCTTGTTTGCTATTTTCATTCCTTTGATGTTTGGGTTTGTCCTAATAAAGTACAACAGGGGCTCCAGGGCTAGGTTAAAGAGGAGGGGAGATAAGGAATTTAGGAATTTATTTTTTCACTTGTATTATAACCTGTGGGTCTCTGAAATGCAGAGTGTGTTCCCGGTATCCGTAGGGTCAGTTCTATGTCTGCGTGATCGGTCCATGAGAGAAGATTCGTAAGCTTGCATCACCGCTGCGGTCCGTCGCTGGGCATGGCATCAAGTATAAATCACCTACCAGGAGTATTATACCTCTGGGTAGTGCTGCCACTATTTTTTCCACCCAGTTTCGTCCAGACGTTGGGGGCATAGACATTAAGTAAATGGTAAGTGTTGGAGTTCATGGTTCCTGTCAGGGCAATGTACAATTCGTCCGTGTCCCTTTGTACACTAAGACAATTTATTAGTGTGATCACTAACAGTTTAACTCCAATGGTGCCAGGAGTGGTCCTTTAAGCCGATCACCAAAGGCATCCATCAAAGCTAAAATCTTATTTCCTGATCAATCATGGCAGCATTTACTCATGGGTCAGCTCCTCCCCACACAGCAGAAAGGACAGAAAATAGAACTCTGCCTGATAGGAAGGGAGAGGATCTATTTATACCCGTTTCAGTCTTTTTTCCTGTCCTTCAAAGCAGTTTGGAAGGGGAGGGGGAGAGAGAGAGAGGGGAAGAGAGAGAGAGAGAGGGGAAGAGAGAGAGAGAGAGGGGGAGAGAGAGGGAGAGAGAGAGAGAGAGAGAGAGAGAGAGAGAGAGAGAGAGAGAGAGAGAGAGAAAGAGAGAGAGATCAGTGTTTCTACGCCATGTTTTTACGCAGTGCCCTGGACGCATGGGCTCTGGTGTAAATTTTATCAGTTATTTGTACCGTAGAGGTTTGAGGAATTTGATTTGATGTTTGATTTCTCTAAGCAGAATTCTGCGTTTATTAGGTACGTTTAGTCCAACTTTGAGTGATGCAAGTCTGAGCTCCATTGTCCAGCCATCCATGATAGTACTATCCCCTTGTATTGTTACAGTTTTGTTGAGAAATGGTTGTCCACGTTAGTCCATTCAATTCCAGAGAGGCCCGGACCAGCAAGCTTGCAGGGGCAATTGTGGGTATGAATTCGGGGTTTAAACTATATTATTTTTTTAATTTATTTAATTTGTTTGTGGGGGATTGGGAGCCAGGGCACGTCGCCCGCAGGAGATTGCACCACGGCCAAGGCCCCCACTGTGCGGGAGTGTGTTATAGGCGTTGGACACTATGTCTTAGGTTTGCGTTTCTGCATCGTGTCTTCTGTGCAGCACCTGGGAGTCATTTATGGGCATGGGACAGGTCTCCTTAAGTGTGTACGGGTATTTTCTTGATTTTTCTTCCTTTTCCATTTTCCTTCTATTTCTCCCATTGGGCCTAAGGTAGAGAAATTGGAAAGTCTTTCAGTGGAAAGCCAGTATGTCTGGCACTATCCATTTCTCCAGAGTGGGAAGGCCTAAGTAGAGTCCAGGGGGGTGGGCCTCATCACTATGGGTCCATTTTCTGTGCTACTGTGTTTTGTTATTTTTGCTATTCCCAGGTAAGGGCAGTCCTCGTAAAGCATCTACTCTCCCCATTAGAATTGCACTTCAAAATGTGACTCTTATGGCTAAGGAGGCTCTGTTCCCTAGGAGATACTACCCCCCCCCCCAGGCCACGGATCACCTATGGGTACCCCAATTAGTGTCATATCTTTAGTCCTCTTTATCTCCACTGAATCTGACAGCTGTATACATGTGACAAGTTTATCCCTCATCTCCCATGCCCACCACACGTCCCACAAACATGTTCACCCGACATTTTTTTTGTCCTCTCGCAGTGATGGTTTCACATGGATACTTTCCCCCTACCCCTACACAGTTGCATCCCCCAAAGGCCCACAACCCCATTGGAATGCATTATAGGACTTTGGTCCTTCAACAGATAGCCTTTATTCTTTTCTCTAAGTTTAGACCAGAGTAAAACTTGAACACGTCTGCGGAGAAGGGTGGCTGGGACGACATCCTGAGAGAGTGGAAGTTCTGAGATGTTGTGAGTGTAGGCCTGAATCCTTCTGTGTTTCAATATGGCTTCTTTTGTCTTTAAGTAATGCCAGTGCATGATTACGTCCTTTGTGGGGCTCTTCTTGGGGCCTCTGGCTCGGAGGGCTCGGTCCACAATCAATAGACGGTCAGGGATCTCCACCAGGCTTTGGCAGAAACAGTCCAAAAGGACCTTCTCTATGTCCCCTTCACTGACCGACTCTGGTAGGCCCCTAATACGTAGATTATTTCTGCACTATCTATTGGAGATGTCTTCCAATTCAAACTGTGATCCTGTGTAGGATCAGGTTGGTGAGGGTTGCGGCTCAATTGTAGGCCTTTACAACATGCTCCATGCGTCTCTCCGTGGCCTTTGTGCGCACCCCTATGGCATGAATTTCAGCCATCACTTCCCAAGCCGGGCGTTCAATTTTAGCTGCCAGGGTTTGCACCTGAGGAATCTTCTGGAGGCTGGTAAGTGGATCCTGGAGACCCAGACAAGCCTGGTGATGCTGATTGGGTCAGGCTGGTTCCATCTCCAACCCCATGTGCTCTAGTCCTCTGTGAGGGGAGCATGTCTGCCACTGATTGAGTTTCATCGCAGCACTTCTTACAGTGTAGCTGGACACCAGAAGTGATTTACAGGCGAGTTCATGAAGCTTCGGGTGCAGAGCGCTCGAACTAGGCGGCCATTACACTCGGCGGTCAAACCATGCCCCCTATTCTATATAATTTTATTCAGGAGAAAAGGGGCTTACATTTTACATCAAATATATATATATATATATATATATATATATATATATATATATATATATATATATATATATATATATATATATATATATAATTATGAATACATTTTTAAAAGTGAGAAATAAAGACATCATTTTTTTAGTCGTCCCCCCTAACTTCTGCATGACATTTTAACTATTAATGTCCTAATACGGCTAGCTTTTTCCCTTCCTTTTATTTTTTTAAAGTTTGACACTATGTTATTTTTCTTTTGTCTTTTTTCTAACTGTGGTCTTCCTTTAAGTATTTGTCTAGAAGACAATTTATTAGCTTGATCACGAACAGTTTAACTCCAATGGTGCCACGAGTGGTCCTTTAAACGGATCACAAAAGGCATCCATCAAAGCTAAAATCTTATTTCCTGATCAATCTTGGCAACATTTACTCATGGGTTAGCTCCTCCCTGCACAGCAGAAAGTACAGAAAATAGAAATCTGCCTGATGGGAAGGGGGTATCTATTTATACCAGTTTCAGTCTTTTTTCCTGTCCTTCACAGCAGTTTGGAAGGAGTCTGCTTATGCAGGCCTAGAATTTTCTTTTATGCTCACCAGGCAATATTTTTGTAGCCCTGCAAGGGTTCCACCTCTAAGCCCTGAAGACCCAGCAAACAGCACTATTGTAAGAGTAGTTAGCCTGGGTACCCCCTTTGTGACTGGGGGTTGGACCCAATCTCTCCCTCAACGGATAGAAATAGTCCACTGCATTCAGCCTCTTATCCCTGAAGACCCAGCAACAGCACATTCTCTCTGAGTCGCCAGCCTGAGTAACCTCTCAGGGGATGAATGTGATCTACTGCCTACAAGAAGCCAGGCCAAGGTTCAGCCTCTTATACCTGAAGACCCAGCAAACAGCATATGTGTAAGAGTTGCCAGCCTGGGTACCTCCTTCAGCAACCTGGAGTCTGACCTCTCACTCTCCCTGAGGGGATGACAGCGGTCCACTGCATACGAGAGAAATCTTAATGTATCCATCCTGGTAAAATATTTTATAAATAAATACATGAGGCCCAGCAGAGTCCAAGCCTTTATCCCTGAAGACCCAGTAAACCGCACTTCCATAAGGTGACTAGCTGGCTATGCCTCTTCTATGTATTCCATCATGTCTGGGTTAGGTTTAAACCTTCTCCCACTGGTGATGACGAACGGCATATAAGGTACAGATGGAAGCCTATAGTTTAAACAGTTTAGGCTGTCAGTTGTTCAAATCCCCATTTTGCCGCTGAAACACAGGCCTGCAGCTGTTCAGGTAAGTGCATTAGCGTTTAGATTAAAACTAGTATAGGCACCTGGGTCTCTGTTCTTTCAGTCCCTTCCAGCTGCTTAGATTAGGCTTCCTTTTAACAAACAGATCACATTCAGTAGGTTTGTGTAGTAAGCATTTAGGTAATCAAAGTATGCATTGTGCAAACGAGTGCCAATAATGGATATCCTGGCTGTATAAAGTCTGCAGGAATTCCACAGTCCTGAAAACAGAGAAATATCCAAGGTAAAAAAAAAAAAAAAAAATCCTTTCCTGGGTGACTGAAATACACACACATATATGGCAGGTTTTAAAACCTAACTAAGTCTGTTTCTATCAAGGCATGTGGCATTGATTGCCGTTATCTGTGCATTATATCAAATAAGCATGCTTTTTCAGAAAAGGCATGCTTTTGGAAGGAAAATATACCGCATATGAGACCACTGGGCCTCAGTATCTGTACATGAACTGGTTTGTAGCACAGCATCAGTATGTTTCCACTACATCCTCTATGTATGAATTGGTCTGAAGTCCCAGTCTCAGTATGAGGACACTACCTCAGAATAAGTATCAACTTTATGCTCTATGTATTGGTTACTATGAGGACACAGCCTCAATATTACTATCAACTATATGCTCTATATATGAATTACTATGAGGACACAGTCAAAGTATATGAATCCACTATATTGTGTATGTATGAGTTGGTCTGAAGACTCAGCCCTCAGTGGGTGTTCTCTATATGCTCTATGAGTTACAATGAAAACACAGCCTCAGTATATGTTCTCTACATGCAAGTTGGTGTGAAGACATTGCTTCAGTATATGTGTCCAATATATGCTTGATGTATTAATGGAAACAGAACAATTTATGTGAATGATATAAGACACAACCTCTATATAGGAATCCAATCTAATACAGGTTGCGGTTTGTCACAACCTCAGTATATGTGAGTAGTATAATTTGTGCATGAAGTTCTTTGAAAACGCAGCCTCACATTTATCTTACTCATATAATCTTAATATATGTGATGGTGTGTAGGCATTATGTCACTGTATATAGCAGATGTAGGCTATATATGATTTACTGTTTCAACAGACTCCGTATATGTGACTGATAGCTTTGTGCATAACGTGTTAAGAAGAAACCACAATATATGGGATTAGTATATTATGTATGCAAGTTGGTATTCTTATATAACCCCAATTTATACACAGCCTTAGCATATTTAATAGATAGAATGTCTGTGTTTTGTGCTGAAATGTAATGTGGCCCAATTCTACCAAAAACAAATGCACTGTTTTACTGGGTAAGTAACTATTACAAACTGTTGATGTGCTACTTCAGTTTTTTTTAACCCCTTCGTGACCAGTTTTTAAGTTTTCTTACCGTTAAAGGGATACTCCAGGCACCCAGACCACTTATGCCCATTGGAGTGGGTGCCAACTCCCACTACCCTTAACCCTGCAAGTGTACTTATTGCAGTTTTCATAAACTGCAATAATTTACCTTGCAGAGTTAAAGGGACACTATAGTCACCTGAACAACTACAGCTTAATGTAGTTGTTCAGGTGAGATCTATAGCTCCCTGCAGGCAATCTACTGTAAACACTATATTTTCAGAGAAAGTACAGCGTTTACATTGATTGATAGGAATACCTCCAGCGGCCAATCCCTCAGACGGCCATCAGAGGGACTTCCTATCATGTATGGCCCTAAAAAGGCCATATACAAGTCAGACGTATTAAAATACATCTGATGTGTGCAGGAGAGAGAAGGCACTGTGTGCGCACCTTCTCTCTCCTGCCTGTCAGCAGAGGAGAGGGAGCGGGCAAAGACCCTCAGGACTTCTTAGGGCGGCATGAATGTAGACAGCCACTAGAGGATGACTTAAAGGGACACTCCAGGCAGCCCTTTTTACTCACCTCGTTCCAGCGCCGGGAGCCTCGTGAAGCCGCGCCGCCTATTTTGTCAAAGTGACAAAGCCGTGCATGCACACAAGGGAGCAATGACGCTTCCGAATGGAAGCGTCTGATTGCTCCCTGCTCGCGCCCGCCTATTTAAAAAGGGCTGCCTGCAGTGTCCCTTTAAGTCCTCTAGTGGCTGTCTACTAGACAGCCACTAGAGGGACCTCCGGGTACATAGAACACGAAAAGTCTTACTCATTTACTGTACTCACACATTATATACCGTTTTTCCTCGCCATTAAATGGACTTTCTAAAGTTACCATTATTTTCATCATATATATAATTTACTATAATTTTTGTCTTATAAACTATGATTTAAAAAAAAAAAAAAAAAAACACAAAACACTTTTTTTTAACTTTGACCCCCAAAATCTGTTACTTTTTTATGCAACCATTTTACCAATCTATGTCAAATTAAATAAAAAATAATACCGTATTTTTCGCTCCATAAGTTTTTAGAGGAGGAAACCCTGAAAAAAATATTCTGAACTGTTCCATAGTGTTTGTTACTATGGGACAGTTTGTTCAGAATATATTTTTTTAAGGAATTTTTTGTTCTTTACCACCCACTCCCCTCTCCTGTCCCATAATTATCTTTAACCCCCTTCCCATGTCCCATAGTTATTTTAACCCCCCCCTTTCCTCTTCTCCAATAGTGTTCTCATCCCATAGTGTTCCCCACCCTGTCCCATAGTGTACTTTCCCTCCCATAGAGTCCCCCCCCTCTCCTGGTCCCATAGAGTCCCCCTCTCCTGGTCCCATAGAGTCCCCCTGGTCCCTCCTCCCCCTCCTGGTCCCATAGACTCCCTCTCCTGGTCCCATAGAGTCGTCCCTCCCTGGTCCCATAGAGTGCCCCCCTCCTCCTGTCCCGAGTCGCCCCTCTCCTCCTGTGAGTCCCCCTCCTCTCCTTGTCCCATAGTGAGTCCCCCCCTCTCCTTGTCCCATAGAGTCCCCCCCTCCTCCTGTCCCATAGAGTCGCCCCTCTCCTTGTCCCATAGAGTCCCCCTCTCCTTGTCCCATAGAGTCCCCCTCCTTGTCCCATAGAGTCCCCCTCTCCTTGTCCCATAGAGTCCCCCTCTCTCTCCTTGTCCCATAGAGTCCCTCTCCTGTCCCCCTCTCCTTGTCCCAGAGTCCCCCTCTTGTCCCATAGAGTCCCCCTCTCCTTGTCCCATGGAGTCCCTCTCCTCTCCCATAGAGTCCCTCTCCTTGTCCCATGAGTCCCCCTCTCCTTGTCCCATAGAGGTCCCCCCCCTCTCCTTGTCCCATAGAGTCCCCCCTCTCCTTGTCCCATAGAGTCCTCTCCTTGTCCCATAGAGTCCCCTCTCCTTGTCCATAGAGGTCCCCCTCTCTTGTCCCATAGGTCCCTCTCCCCCCCCTCTCCTTGTCCCATAGAGTCCCTGTAGCGGATGGCCATGAGCTGCCCTGGGACTTGTATTATGTGTAACCTGTATTCGTTTAATTGCTAAATGTCTATGCAGTAAGGGAATGTATTGGTGTAAAATAGCTAAGTTCTATGTGTAAAATGTATTGGATTCGTCTGAATGTAAGGTAGTTTCATTCGAACAAACTAAGGGAACGAACAGTCAGACCTCCCCTGTGTGAAGTGTGCCTTCAATTACCCGTTGCAACATTGTTGCGAACGGGTAATTGACAAGCTGTGTAGCAATCCTTTGTTCTCAGGGGTGGCCGCCATTCGAGAAACGAACACGTGGCGGCAGCCATCTTAACCTCCCTCGTTCGGTAGGCATAATCAACCGAACGAGGGGATTCAGGCGAACCCTCCCAAGCCTCTATAGCTGGAGGCTTTCAGGTACTGCATTCGCCTTTTCCAGGACCGACCGCAGGGCCCAATCGCATGGAGCCCAATTCGGCTAGTTCATCCAGCACGGCGGTCATTTTATTCCCTCCAGGAAATTCCCGAACCCCTGGTCCGATCTGGGTGATTTTTGGATATGTTGTTCACCCAGATCAGGGCTACCAGGGGATGTATAATTTAAAGGGGTACCCCTAGGTTTAAGGGTACATCCAGAAACGGGGGGAATTTCTGTACTGGATAAGGGGATTATGATGCCGGCTGAGGGGAGGAGATGTGTGGGAGGTTACCGGGACAGGATTGGCTACTGTATTAATGAATGTAAATCCCTCCCTTGCATGGGAGTATGCTATATAAGGCACTGTGGAATAAAGGTGGTCAGTTCTGCTCCTGAAACTGTGTGTCGTCCAGTTATTGGGATTGCTGTTGGGATACTGCTGTGTTATTTTGCCTGCTGGAAACCTTGCCTGTGGATTTACAATTTACTTGTTCCTGAGCCTCACTTGGATTATAAGCGGAGATAGCCTGGGGAATATTGTATCTCCACTACAGTCCCCCCTCCCCTTGTCCCATAGTTACTTACCTGTCTTGTAGCGTGTACTGTGTGTGCACTTCCTTTCAGTTCCGCCGAAAACCGGAACCTGAAATTGAAGTTCCTGTACAGCGGTGCGCGCTGTGCTGCCGGCCCACGCTACAAGACAGGTAAGTAAAGCTTCACATTCGCTCCATAAGACGCACAGACATTTCCCCTCACTTTTGAGAGGGAAAAAAAGTGCGTCTTATGGAGCGAAAAATACGGTAATTGGTGATTTTTTGGACAAACATAGCAGTTTAAGAATACATGTACTGAGAACTTTAAGGGTTACTGCCAAACATCCCTATATGTGTTCAGCAACATCTCCCAAGTACAGTGAAACCACCCATGTATAGGTGTGTCGGGTTCTCTGGGGGCTAAAAGACCTTATTTGGAGGATGCACATTCCAGTTTTCCAACTTAGAATGTTCATATCTAGTCATCATACACCCATGTCCTATTTGGGACATTTTTGAAGCCGGCCAATGTTATTTACCCCCATCAAACCATATAATTTTGAAAAGTAGACACCCTAGGGTATTTCAAATGGTGGTACTTTTAACACTTTCCATGCACTAATTCTACCACCAGTCTTTTTCAAACTTTTGGGTAGTCATTGATTGTGTAATTTTTCTCTCACATTGTACTTTAGGCATGGATTCTCAGTTCCTGCTATGTGTTACTGACAAATAACACAACTTCATAACGGAAGACCGTGAGTGCAGCCCATATGTTCATTTGTTATATATAACTTTTTATGTACTTTATAAAAAACTTTTATTGCAAACTTTTAAAAGTTTTTTGCAGGCATTAGGGTGACTGCCTGAGAGCTCAGACAGGCCCCCTGCAGGCACTGCACAAGCCGGACACCGCAATCACATGGCCTGGGAGGGCAGATTAGGAAGTGGGGGTCTGCCTGAGCTCCCAGGAAGACCCCAGGATTGCAATTGCCGGCGGGGAATCACCAGCGATCAGGTAAGTGGCGATTTACTAAATGACGTACCAGGTACGTCCGCGGTCTTTATCGACAGTTTTTTGGGCAGATGTGCCTGGTACGTCATTGGTCGGGAAGGAGTTAAATAAATTAGATAAGAGAAACCTACTGCCTTTGGCAATTAACAATTAACCACTTCAGATGGACTGCCAGTGTTATTGAACCTGTCTGTGTGCCTCTCCCAGGAGAGAAGAGCTGATTTCCAAAATGGAGCATGGTAATGTTAGGTTTTTTTTTTTTTGTATTTTTTTGTGTACACACCTATGTATTTACACATGAAACAATTCTACAAAAGTTTTTTTTTATTGCCAGGTATCATCTCTCTGATCAAGATAGGGAATGGTTTTTTAAGTTTGGTGGCAGTGTTTAACCTTAATATATATGCGGATTGCAGATGCACAGCTTAGTTGATCTTGTTGATTACAGATGCACAGCTTTGTAGATCTTGCTGGTTGCAGGATCACAGCTTGGGCTATTTATTGCTCCCATAAGTAGGTAACTCTAAAGCAATTACCCAACTGTTTTCACTTGTATATTTGTCTTTCTCAAATCTAAGTTAATGGATTTAAAAGCTGTTGATAGTGGCTTTCTGTTTTCACCTGGTCATAACTTTAGTAATTATTTTATTTTCTCCAAGCTTCTAGTCTGAAAAAAATCACTACTTCTGGTCTGGTTCATAATGTTTATTCAGATTTTAGGTATTCTTTTAGGCCAATATGCTTCATGTAACTTTGATGTTGGGTATTGCAAGTATTTTGACATTGGAAGGTTTTTTAGTGCATAGACCATTCTATCAGTTTTACTATTTCAGGTAAAATTCACCTGCTAGCAGAACAATAAAGGAAATCCCTGAACATGAAGTTCCATTATGGGCCTTTGTTCTGATATTCATGGGGATTCTTCTAGGTGTCCTTATTTCTGGAATTTGCAACCAATGTGTGGCTTTAAGCTGTTGAGTTATCCTGCATAATATAGTATTGTTGATGACAAACATTTTGGCTATGTTTTACATGGTCTCTGTATCTAGATCTGAGCAAATGATGGTCACTCCTAACATTGCATTGATGTAATACTTGTGGATTATATGCTTGGATTGGTGTTGATATCTTTGCAAATAAAACAAGCTGCAGGATGATCTTATCACCCTAGGCTCTGCCATAAGTACTTCATCACTCTCTGAAGAGAAAGTCAGAGTAAGTAGTCGGTTGTTTGTTCTTATATCTTCTACTATCCTGCTTATAATGTATGTGTGTGTGTTGCCATAATGGATCATGTGCCTCCGGTTGCCACCTTTCCATCAGTATCCTGCCTATTACATATCTCCTACTTATATTGCACAACATTCTCTAATCATTTTGATTCTACTGTTTGGCATAATCTGTACTATTTACAATATTTAACTTTGAATGTAGGTACTGACGTGGTTGGCCTACATTGCCTACTTATAATTTAGTAGTTGCCACAAATTCTACGGTTCATACTAATTTTTTATTTTTAACTACTCTGTATGATGCGATTCTTCTTGACTTTGCCTAGTAAAATCCATTTGTGTTATTGGTTTCTACCTCTCCTGTAACGGATCATTACTGTATCAATTCAGTCACAGTTTGAGGTATAGCTCAGAGTCTGATTTTTGTAATATATAGTCATTGTTGTAGTGTTTTAAAGTGGCACTGGCTGCTCACCGTTTACTAGACATGCCCCTACTCGCATTATAGCGAGTAGGGGCAGATTAATTACGAATACCAAGTAATTTTTACTTGGCATTAGTAAAGTTGGCTGAAAGACCAATCTTTGTCTTTCAGCCTTTTGGTAGATAGCAAACTGATACCGTGGGAATTAGGGTGCTATCTACTAAGATGCAGCCTCGATAGGATAGGAATTTCATTCAAATTACATTTTGAACCGAACAAAAGTCCTGAATTTTGTCCGAACACGAATGGACGAACCGTTCTAATTTACAGTTGCAAGAAAATGTATGTTTACAATTTGTCTTACTGTGGACTGATGAACAGCAAGGCATTTGGAGATACTTTTATAACCCTTTCCAGCTTTATGCAAGTCAACAATTCTTAATCGTAGGTCTTCTGAGAGCTCTTTTGTGCGAGGCATCATTCACATCAGGCAATGCTTCTTGTGAAAAGCAAACCCAGAACTGGTGTGTGTGTTTTTTATAGGGCAGGGCAGCGGTAACCAACACCTCCAATCTCATCTCATTGATTGGACTCCAGTTGGCTGACATCTCACTCCAATTAGCTCTTGGAGATGTGATTAGTCTAGGGGTTCACATACTTTTTCCACCTGCACTGTGAATGTTTACATGGTGTGTTCAATAAAAAAATTTCATTCTTTGTGTGTTATTAGTATAAGCAGACTGTGATTGTCTATTGTTATGACTTAGATGATGATTAGATCACATGTTATGACCAATTTGTGCAGAAATCCATATCATTCCAAAGGGTTCACATACTTTTACTTCCAACTGTATGTTAGGGCGAAATTCGGTAGTTTTGTCGGCATTCTGTCTAAGTGACAGGACGTTCGGGAATAGTGAAAGGAGGCATCACAAGAACATGAAGGGAAAGTAAGAATTATGGGAAAATTTCCTCTGACCACAGGAAACTGAGCAAAATATACTCCTCTGATGGTCATAGATGGTCAGGCGTAGGAAACCTCCATAAGACAAAGTAGCCCCTACTTTGTCTTATGTTTTAAAGAAAACTAGTGCGGACGGGAATCAATGAACAGATCCTGAGAAAGGAGGAGAAGAGGAAGCGATTGGGGAAAGGTAAGTTCGGCATGACCGTGCTACTTTAATAACAGACTCACTTTTTTCTCTACTAGGCTCTCTACCTCTTTCTTACAGGCAAATACTGTTTTGTGTCCTGTATATACAGATAAGCAGTTCACTAGGCAAGATGAAGCAGTGTGAATCGTCTTTAATAAATACATCCAGAAAATAGTAGGATTCTCTGTGTAATTCTCCCCCTGTTTTATAGCAGGGAGTGACTGTTGTCATCGAAGAGTATGATCTCTGCGTGTTATGCCTTTCTCAAGGTTTTGATTTGATAATGCCATCCATTTGTTTTTTAATTTATATTAGAGAAGGACATTATCTTCTGTTGTTGACATAATCGAGCTATAATTTCTTTACAGTTTCTGGGTTTCATGGAGGTTCTCTATTTTTTTTTTTTTATCATCCATAACAAGATGGGTTTCTTATTTTTACAAGAGTTTGTCTTGTATTCGTTTAGTGTTGTTCCTTCTCTAGGTTTGGCTATCATGACCCTAATTCCTATCTGGCTGACCATTTCTCCAGGATATTTCAGACATTTGAATGCCAGGAGGTTGTTGACCTAACAACCTCTAGGGCAAATTAACTTGTCTGAACAGATTTTATGACAATATCCTATTCATTACTTGTTTGGCTTTTTTAAAGTCTTCTAAGGTCCCTCCCTCTATATATACTGCTTGGGTATTCCCCATGAGTAAATGCTGCCATGATTGATCAGGAATATAAGGAAAATTGTTTCATACTTACCATAATTTTCTTTTCCTGATCATTATTCATGGCAGCATTACGTTCCCACCCATATACTATAAATTGTGAAGCTAGTTACAAAGACTGCCTGATGGGAAGGGGGAGGATCTATTTATACCAGTTTCAGAGTTCTATTTCCTGACCTTTCTGCTGTGAAAGAAGGAGCTAACCCATGAGTAAATGGTGCCATGAATGATGATCAGGAAAATAAAATTATGGTAAGTATGAAACAATTATCCTTAAATATTGTAAAGACAAAGTATGGAGGACATTTTCTGGAGCTCATCCAAGTCAAATGCATATAGCACAAGCTTCAAGCTCCAAGGTGATCATCTGGTGCATGGCAGTGGTGTCAAGACATGGAATATAGTGGCTTGGACCCATCCAATCTCCCATATCCAACCAACTTGTAAGCAAACTGAACTGGGTCCTAGACCCCTCCATCTTCTAGATGGCAGCATTTCATCTGAACTACTCAGTCAACATCAAAATAGCCCCCCCACAAGAGAAGAATGGTTATTTCAGAATCCAAGTTGTCAGGTGCAGCAAGAGAGACACATCTCCACCAACATGATCTCCTAAATTATCCTCACAGTTCTATCCTACCGCTTATGCTTACTCCCCAAATAAAAGCAAAAAGGAGTATGTGACAAACGTGCCTATGCCACAAGCTCCTGGAGGAACCTGCTAGCTGGCCTCCTGCCCAAGGCCATATACAGAGACCCTGTTCAGGAGTTAAACCTCCCCAGCCACCATTAGTAGCTTGCCCTAGGTGCTACTGATTCGGCACTTTCCGTTAATGCGAATAGAACCGAAAGCTGGCTCTCTGGCGGCCGTTTGCATGAACGAAACCCACAAATTTCCCTCAGCGGGACTTAACCACGAATGTTATGAAACTGTTGTCGGCATGAGGTGACCGTGCGGTTCCCGGGCAACTTGGTTCGCGGTTTTGAACCACTATGAAATACGCCTGGAGAGAGCTTTTTGGAGGGAAAGTATCTGAGACTAATGGGAACAAACACTACCTGAAAGACAGACGGAGCACCCCATATTGAGGCCGCAGTAGCTCCCAAAAGTTGACCGGCCAAAGCACCAAACGCCCTGGAACTGTTTTGGGCATATGATCACATGTGCGGCTGATCAGAACTTTAGCACAGTGGCATTTCCCCTACACTGCATGGATTTGAGCGCTATTCAGAAAACTTGGGCGCTCAGATCAGGGCGATTTGGAGTTGTACTATTTGTGGGGTAGTTATATATTTTTATTATGTTTTTGGGGATTTTTGAATTTAAAATTTTTATGTTTGATGCTCTGTTCCTGGGAGATAATTAGCTTACCGGTCTTGACCGCAATTATCTCCTCGAGACAACTGAGATTCCTGGGAGGGGCTTGCATTATATTATTGTGTGGAGATCCCCTGCTGGGAGTTCCTTAACACCCTCCACTCAGTCTGGGCTAGTGTTTGGGTGGATCAGCAATACTCTCTGCAGGACAGCTTAATCACTTGAAGCTGTACCCAGGACCCTGTTCCAAAGCAGGAAGCGACTGAGAGACCCCAGCCAAGCATTATGACGACTGGAGGGAGCTTAACCCTCAAAAGAAGGACTATACCTTCTTCCTAGCGCACAAATAAATAAATATTCCAGGAGATATCTATGCCTCACAGACTCAACTATACTCTTTTGTGGACAGCTTGTTGTACAGTTATTTATGGGGGAAAGTATTCAAAATATAAATTTATAAAAACAAAATTTGCTATTAGGCAATCATAAATTTATTGGAAATTGATCATCAGAAATTTGCAAACACCAACATCTCTTTATCAAAAAATTAACTCGTTATTCCTGGTCAGTAATCAATCAAACCAACATATATATGTTTCTGCTACACATAACTGAGAAACATGGCAATATTATAATTAATGTTATATAACACCCTATTTCTCTTGCCTCCGCTATACCTAAAGTACTTAGACAGACAAGGATGAATGAATTGTTGAGGGTTAAGTTAAGCTACAGATAATTATGAAGTTTAGTTATGGAAATATCTGAGATACAGAATAATTATGGCAAATGTTTGCCATATATTTTATTTGGCTGCAGAACAAAAAATATATGGGATTAAAATTTGGTTCTAAATATTGACCATCTCGAGCAAATCCATAAGGCTAAATAAAAAAATATATAATTACCAATGGACTGTTGCTGAAGGTATTTAGGAAAGTATCAGATGGTTTTTAAAAGCCAGAAAATTAAACGTGATATGATATGAAATTACTTTAAAGGGACACTCCAGTGCCAGGAAAACAAACAGTTTTCCTGGCACTGCAGGTACCCTCTCCCTCCCACTACCCATCCCATGTTGCTGAAGGGGTGAAAACCCCTTCAGTAACTTACCTGAGACCCCCACCGATGTCCCTCGGCGGTGGTTTCGGGTCCGCCCACGTCATTTAGCGGGGGAGACCGACGCATGCGCGCGCATATTAGACCTCTCCATAGGATGCTTTCAATGCTTTCCTATGGGAAATTGAGCAATGCTGGAGGTCCTCACACAGCGTGAGGCTATCCAGCAACACTCTAGCTAGACCTGTGCTAGAAACCAGGAAGTGCCCTCTAGTGGCTGTCTAGTAGACAGCCACTAGAGGAGGAGTTAACCCTGCAATGTAATTATTGCAGTTTATGACAACTGCAATATTTGCAGCTGCAGGGTTAAGGGTAGTGGGAGTTGGCACCCAGACCACTCCAATAGGCAGAAGTGGTCTGGGTGCCTGGGGTGTCCCTTTAAGTTTGAAGAGAGAATAACAGTGTTCCTCCAAACAGGGTGTGCGAGTGATCTCTCATTTTCCCCCTCATTAGCTAATTTAAAGATATCCTTATCTACTGAATAACTAATGATTTTTACAAGGGGCGTAAACATTAAAATGAATAAACTTATATTTTATATAAGCTTAACGTAATTTTACTGTTAATTCATTAGATGCCAGAGGCCAATCTTGGTTAACATGTAATTTTAACTGGCTGACGCCTCTCAATAGTAAATTTCATAAAACCTTTAACACTTACCTGTTATTATTGCTTATCATTAGCCTTAAGAAGTATAACTATTAGCCAGCAATACCGCTTTCTCATGTATTTGAGACAAATGTTTGATTCAACCTTATCACACAGCTGTGGCTTTTAAGACTAGGCCATTGTATTAATGCTTGCGTGAAGCGAAAATAAATTCCATTACTTGCAAGGATTAGTAAAATGCTTACATATTGCGTTAATTCTTACTATCATTTTAATAAATCAATAAGAATAATCTCTGCTATATTTCATTGGAATTTTCAGACACACTAGGGTCTTGTACAACTCCCAATTTCAGATCTACTAAGTAGATATAACTTGTTTCATTGAATTTCGTTCTCACACCATCTGTTTGCAATTGACTCTTCAGCAAAAATAAGAGAAAAAAAGAAAAAAAAAAGTTTTAAACATCTTTGTGAACGGACAAGATGGCAATAGACCAGCCATTTTAGGCAAAATGTCTGACATTTAGTCAGTTTAGTTTCCAAGTGATCTGCTCTCTCACCTATGGCGTGCAGGTCGTAGTGGAGGTCCAAATGCTCTTGAGGTCTTGTAGCATTAAGTGGATCTTTTCTAAAGATAGGTCTTGAAGAGGTAGAGAATCTCTGACGCGGATGCTGATTTGGAGGCAAAGAGGGCCTCCACACAACCTTTCTGTTCTCTGCCAGGTTATCATAAAACACTGCTCTATCGGCAAGAAGAACTTTTCATACTCTCCGGGGACCCTTACAACAAGCTTCTCTAGAACCTCGAACATGTCACTGGTTGTCTCTCTTCCATTTCTGACTGGATGTTTTCTGGCTTTGTAAAATGCAATCTTTCTAAATCTGAGTTATTCTTTCCTCCTCACAATACAATGCCCTCCTATTTCACTCTACCTGCAAGTTGATGGTATGCACATCAGTCCATCCTTGCAAGCAGTTTTATTGTTATGTTTGAATGAAGCCTCACCTTTACACCTAATTTTCTACGCACCCATTTTTTCCCTGGTTTTCTTTGTTTTATGGTGTTAGAAATATAAATTGATTGTAAAAAGTTAGGAGTACTGTATGACTGCAATGGTTCGATATTTTAATTGTCCAACCTCCTGCTATGTACTTCTGTGTCATGTACAATTTTCTATATACTTAAACTATACATGGGGAGAGGGGGCAAGAGAGAATCATACCTTTATTGTAGCTTCTGCAAATAACTCCTGAAGATTCTTAGTCAATGCCAAGGTATGATCTTCAATTGAAACTTCAAATGCAGTTTCTAGGCACTGTATTGCAACTAGGAACCAGATGAACAATAAATTTGTTTACAATGATGTGAAATACAAGTAAAGCATCAATGCTAAACACCAAGCAGCAGTTTGGGATTAAATTACCATGTTGTAGTAATACAAAAATTTTTTTTAATCAGTCCATATCACCCAAGCAAGGAATAGTGGCAGCGTCTGAACAATCATTAAATGGGATGGTGCAAGGGCACTATTACAGTGGCTACAGAAGGCAGCTATGGTGCTTGAAGTGTTCCTTTAATGTCGGATGCAATTGTTAATAGCTTTAAAGCCGTACAATCTTTAATCGATTCCTCTTCTCTCCCTCTGTCAGGATATGTTCTTAATTTCTTCCTGTCTGCTCAAGTTTTCTTTAAAACATAAGAAAGTAGGGACTATTTGTCTTATGAAGGTTTCCTACGCCTGACCATCTCTGACCAGCAGAGGAGCAAAGTGTGCTTCATTTCTGGTGGTCAGAGAAATTTTCCCACAATTCTCACCTTTCCTCTGTGTTCCGGCAGAGCCTCTTTTCACTTTTCCCGAACGTCCTGTCATTTAGACAGAACGCCAGCGAAACTACCGAACTGTGTCCTAACAGAATCTACTAAAATTGGTCTTTCGGTCAAATTAATACCAAGTAAAGACTACTTAGTATTGGTAAATTCAGCCTGTGGCTGCTCGGTGTTAAAAAAATAATAAAACATAATATCCCCCCCCACCCGTGCCGCATGAGTGTAGGCTATTAAACTGAACGGGGTACCTAGCATGCCCCCCCTCACCCCTGAGCAGCAGGTGGGGAAGGCACCTATTGTCCTCCCCCACAGCCCCCACCCCTTAGCAGCAGGTGGGGGGCAAGGGGGGGAGGAAGAAGACCTATAGAGAGAGAGAGAGAAAGAGAGAGAGAGAGAGAGAAAAAAAGAGAGAGAAAAAAAGAGAGAGAAAAAAAGAGAGAGAAAAAAAGAGAGAGAAAAAAAGAGAGAGAAAAAAAGAGAGAGAAAAAAAGAGAGAGAAAAAAAGAGAGAGAAAAAGAGAGAGAGAAAGAGAGAGAGAAAGAGAGAGAGAAAGAGAGAGAGAAAGAGAGAGAGAGAGAGAGAGAGAAAGAGAGAAAAAGAGAGAAAGAGAGAGAAAGAGAGAGAAAGAGAGAGAAAGAGAGAGAAAGAGAGAGAAAGAGAGAGAAAGAGAGAGAAAGAGAGAGAAAGAGAGAAAGAGAGAGAAAGAGAGAGAAAGAGAGAAAGAGAGAGAAAGAGAGAAAGAGAGAAAGAGAGAGAAAGAGAGAAAGAGAGAGAAAGAGAGAAAGAGAGAAAGAGAAAGAGAGAAAGAAAGAGAGAAAGAGAGAAAGAGAGTCGATTAAAGAAACTTTAAAAAAAATAAAAAACACAAACACTAAAAATTCAGCACCATATTTTCTCATCCATCTACCATGAGATCGCCAACTTTTATAATCCTATGATGTCCTTCAAATACGCTGACATTATCAGACTAAAATAAACAGCCTCTATGCATCAAAAATTTATAATACTAGTTGCTGGAGACCTAAGCCCCCGAATGTAAATTGAAGTGTTAACTTACCTGTAATCCATCAGGGAGACAGCCCTTCCCATCAACTCCACTCTGTTAGCCAGCAGAGCGCTTCTCACAGAGAAGCATTGGGAGGCAGGGTACATATTTGTAAATTTTTCTCATAGAAGATCAAGAAGAGCATCCTCCTGGCTGTCAGAAGCTAGATAGCTCTATAAAGCAGTCTATCTGTTTAGCTTCTGATGCTGGTGATGCTAGATGCAGGCATGAGAGTCTGGCTGGATCCAAAAAAAAAAAAAGTTATCAAACTGTATTTGATGTATACGGTAAGATGTTTGACAACTTATCTTGGGAAATTGCCAGGACTCTGCTTTGTGCGCACCTTTAAAAATGAATATAATTTATTTCTAAATTCATATGTTTTAAAATGTAGTTTTAAAACATATGAGGTTGTGGAAATAAGAGTATGTTGCATTTTTTATGAATGAAACTGCTGCAGAGTGCTCAACTACATATCCCAAAAATTCTATTCTGAACAATGCTTTGTGGAACATGCTCAGCACTCAGTATATGAGGGCCGGAAATGACACATATATTGTGAATTTCTAGAAAATCAGGAATTTCAAAGTAATTTTTTTATTTTACATTGGTTTTGATATATTACTGATATCCACATGGAGAATTCTGAGACAAGTAAAACATTTTAACTCTAAACTATGTGATCTTACCAAATAAAATAATAAGTAATATTACACACCTTCCAAACTCTCTTGTGCATCTGAGGAAAGACCTCCATTGTCTAACTGGTCATGTAAGTATTGGATGATAGAAAAGGCTAAACGTTTCTTGTCCTCCATTTTTCCCAAATTCCAAAGTCACACAAGCAGCCTCTGCAGATTTAAAAAAAAAAAAAAATACAATGCACTGTTGGGAATAAAATCTAAAAGGCACATAGATAATACCAGATAGATTAGAAATTATATTACATGAACCACAGACCATAAACTTTATAATATACTACAAGAACATAGATACATGAATGTCCCTATTCTGTACAAGATATGGGGCCCTATACTGCACAGAAGTGTCCTGTGGAACAGGGCTTGACAAATTTGCTTTGAATCTAGGAACCAGGTTTTTCAACGTCAAAAATACAATTCTTAAAAGGGACACTATAGTACGGTTTGATATTGATTTTTTTCGAGCCGATACCAATAATCTGAACTTTCAGGCCGATAGCATGCCGATATTCTGTACATTTACCATTTTGAAAAAAATAAACTAATTCTAAAGGTAAATGCACAAAATATACATGCCACATGTAGTGGATGCAGAGTGTGTGTTTGTGTGTGTGTGTAGTGTGTATAGTGAATGTAGAGTGTGTGTGTGTAGTGTGTATAGTGAATGTAGAGTGTGTGTGTGTAGTGTGTATAGTGAATGCAGAGTGTGTGTAGTGAATGCAGAGTGTGTGTAGTGTGTATAGTGAATGCAGAGTGTGTGTAGTGTGTATAGTGAATGCAGAGTGTGTGTTTTTGTGCAGTGTGTATAGTGAATGCAAAGTGTGTGTGTGTGTGTAGTGTGTATAGTGAATGCAGAGTGTGTGTGTGTATAGTGAATGCAGAGTGTGTGTGTGTATAGTGAATGCAGAGTGTGTGTGTGTATAGTGAATGCAGAGTGTGTGTGTGTGTGTATAGTGAATGCAGAGTGTGTGTGTGTATAGTGAATGCAGAGTGTGTGTGTGTATAGTGAATGCAGAGTGTGTGTGTATATAGTGAATGCAGAGTGTGTGTGTAGTGTGTATAGTGAATGCAGTGTGTGTGTAGTGTGTATAGTGAATGCAGAGTGTGTTTGTGTAGTGTGTATAGTGAATGTGTGTGTGTAGTGTGTATAGTGAATGCAGAGTGTGTTTGTGTAGTGTGTATAGTGAATGTGTGTGTGTAGTGAATGCAGAGTGTGTGTGTGTGTGTTTGTGTAGTGTGTGTAGTGAATGCAGAGTGAGAGTGAGTGTGTGTAGTGTGTATAGTGAATGCAGAGTGTGTGTGTATAGTGAATGCAGAGTGTGTGTGTAGAGTGAATGCAGAGTGTGTGTGTAGAGTGTATAGTGAATGCAGAGTGTGTGTGTGTAGTGTGTATAGTGAATGTAGTGTGTGTGTAGTGTGTATAGTGAATGCAGTGTGTGTGTAGTGTGTATAGTGAATGCAGTGTGTGTGTGTGTATAGTTTATCCCTTAGGTGCACCGTTACAATCACGATCATCCAGCCTCTCTCAATTCCAACAGTTCTATACGAACTAGGTACGTTTCCCTCAAACCCTAGGCAATTAGAGCTACCCCTCATCCCCCATTTTATTGCTAGTAGGGCTAGTTCGACTGGCTATATCATTAGAATCAATGGCCTTAAATAGTTATAACAAACTAATCCAGTGAGGCCTACACCCATCCTTAATCGCCCCTCAACCCTGTATGTAGATAACGCCTTACTCCACCCTCTACAAGTATACAGTTAGGCCCTCACCAGTCATACCATCTCCAATAGTCACTTTTAGGTTCACCAAGAGGCCAAAACTAGCGCCACGTCAACCAGTGGCCCCCACCCAAGGGTCCAAATCATAGGTAGAGCCATTGAAAGCCACTTGGCATTAGTAGGGCCTCATCATCCTTGTATGCCAGATAATTTCTTTGCTTTAAGCTTTAGCTAGAAGCCAGTTGGAATAGGTCTACGCTTATCAAAACTTACCTTAACATCCTTGTATTTCAGAATGTTGCAAGTCCCAGAACACGATGACCTCCCCCACCCAGACCCAGTACCCCTACAGAGCATCTGGAATCGGCCAGCCCATGCTCTCTCTGTACATGGAATATCTTGAAACGTGCCAGTGAACTGAAACTTTTAGGCATTCCCTTCCCAGCCATTGCCCGTAAAAAGCCGAACTGTACCACCTCCTAATTGCAAGTTCTGGCACACTTCAGCAATGTACTACTGTACAGTCAACCAATCCAAACAACTTCACTGAAGTTAACATGATGATAACCCTGCTCGCTTCCATCAACACTGTTAGTGTTAGACTTGAGAAACTGGAAAACCCACAAGCTCCGACACCCAGCCCAGCCACAGAGCTTCCCACACCCTCTCCTTCACACGGTAATGCCATGATTTTTGACCCCACTCTTGGCACTTCCACTCACTTAATCACTACCGCGCACCTAGTACCGCCGACCATTCGCCAGGACATTCTAGAGGGCAAGGACGTGAGTTTGATTTACTTACTAATTGCCTCCCAGGATGTCATGGAGAACAAATCATCTAACTACAGAGATCTGTCCGGCGTACTAAAGGCCAGAGACCCCAAAATTAACCGCAAACCCCCAATGCATTATGTATGTGTGTGTGTGTATTCAGAAGTCTTTATGTATTCAGCAGTGTATATTTAGCAGCCGGTGGGTGTATGTATTGCGTATGTAATTTTATCTATTTATATCATTATTTAAAATTTGTATCATAGAACTCTGTTGTGTTCTTTTAAAACAAAAGATGTTAATTAGTTCGGACAACTGTACGAGTTGTTTTTTCTAAACTTAAACCTCAGTATTCCGGTTTAATTGCCGTGTTGGCACATTGAGGGGAAAAAAAGTTGGCATGTATTGCGGTTTGGGCACTCTGGCTCAAAAAGGTTCGCCATCACTGAGTCACCCTTCAGGCTAGTGATCAACAGATACTGATTTTTTTTTAGAGCAGATACCGGTAATCTGTGAACTTTCAGGCCAATGGCCGACCGATATTCTGTACATTTACCATTTTGAAAAAATAAACTATTTCTAAAAGATAAATGCACAAAAGACTACACAAATACACAGTACATCCACTATATATACACACACACACACACACACTACACAAATACACACTACAAAAACACACACTGCTCCCCTGTCTAAACACACTGCATCCACTACGTGTGGCATGTATATTTTGTGCATTTACCTTTAGAAATAGTTTTTTACTCACCTTTGTTCCAACGCCTTGGCTGGCCCCACCTCCATGTCTGAGATCCTCAATCTTGACGTTCTCAGCAAATCCGATGCTTCACATAGGAAAGCATTGGAAGACTATTGCGTATGCACAGCACAAAATTGCCACTGCGCCAATTTAACTTCTCATAGAGATGCATTGAACCAATGCATCCATATAGGAAACATTAACATAGGTGCTGCACAGTGCAAAGCACACCGCTAGAGGTGTTACCAGGCAGCAATGTAAACATTGCCTTTTGTATGAAAAGTCAGTGTTTACATTTAAAAAGCGTTCAGGGACAGGATATAGACTTCAGAACAACTACATTAAAGGACCACTATAGGAACCCAGACCACTTCAGCTTAATGAAGTGGTGTGGGTGCCAGGTCAAGCTAGGGTTAACCCTTTTTTCTATAAACAAGTTCTCTGAAACTGCTATGTTTATGAAAAAATGGGTTAACCCTAGCTGGACCTGGCATCCAGACCACTTCATTAAGCTGAAGTGGTCTGGGTGCCTAGAGTGGTCCTTTAAGAATGCCTCTATTGACTGACAGCCATTACAGGAACTTTCAGCAGATTCAACAACACTTTGCTTGAGATCGTGTTGAAAAGACCAAATGTGTTTTCCCCACACATCGGCTGAAGTTAGTAAAGCCTGACCCAGTGCTGAGGGACAAGTGCGCTGGAATCAGTTAAGTTATTAAACCCTTTACATGTCCAAGGAAGGACCGCAGGACACTATAGTGTTAGGAATACAAATGTGTACTCCAAAACACTAAAAAGTATTCCGTTAACTTTGAAGTGGTCCTCAAATTCCTATGAGGCCAGTGAGGGAGGGCTGGATTCCAGCAACCATCATCAGGGGTGCTATTGGTACTAATTTGAGTCTGTCTCAATACAGCTGACCTAGTATTGCTCTACTGCTATGTCCAATTCACTCCACCTAGGAAGCCAATGGGGGGGTACAAAGTAAAGCAGCAGGGTTGGAACTGGATACATCCAGGATGCTATTGACCTTGAGTGGAGATATGTACCCTTACAATATTGAATCTGTGGGGAACACTATGATTTGCTGGAATACTCCATACCATGTAAATGTGTGCCATGATGCCCAGGAATACTATGATATGTTCTAGTCCAGTGGTCCCAAACCCAGTCCTCATGGACCACCAACAGTCCAGGCTTTGTCAGTATCACCATTTGAATAAAAAAGGGAATACATGAATACTGGACTGTTGGTGGTCCATGAGGACTGGGTTGGGGACCACTGCGTCTAATCTATGATGAGGACTATAGCAGTAGATTTGTTGCCTACTATTGTGTATTATATGACAAGTAGACTGGTTAGGGGCAATGAACCTTTCAGATTACTGGGAGGAACTGGAAAGCCTGTTATGGAGTAGAGAGGGCTTGACATTTTTTTTTTTTATAATTTTTTTTTTTTTAAACTCCAGGGAGAAAATGTGAGTGGCATCCCTCTCCAGAAGCAAAGTGGTATACAGGGAGGCTGCACAGTAGTCACCTCTCCAGTTGCAGATGGTCACTTTGAGAGCTGGAGAAGTTGACAGCCCTCCCCAGCAGCAGATTGAGGTCCAGAGAAGGGTTGAAATCAGCATCTTTACCCAATGGCAGGATGAGGGGAGATAATGTGGCTGGCAGTTCTCCCCAGCAACTGAGTTTCAGGGAGAAAGTGTGAGCAGCATTTCTCTCAGCAGCAGAGTGCTTGTTGGAATCAATGTGGAAAGCTCCTTACCCCAAAAGCAGGACAAAGTTTTGATACACAACATAGACAATACATTTCCCCCCCAACAACAGGAGCGGGCCTTAAAAGCCAGTGCAATTGGATAAGCATCTCAGTGGAATACTGCGACCACTGTTTCCCATTTAAAGGGACACTGTAGGCACCCAGACCACTTGAGCTAATTAAAAGTAGTCTGGGTGCTGTGAACCTTTTGCACTTAGTGCTGCAATGTTAAACATTGCAGTTCCAGAGAACTACAATGTTTACATTGCAGCTCTAAGTCTGCCCTCAGTGGCTGTCTACCAGACAGCCACCAGGGGTGCTTCCGGAATCCGTTATCTGACGCTGGACGTCTGCACGGACCTCCAGCATCAGATTTTCCCCAATAATGCTTTCCTATGGGGAGGTCTAACACGCGTACGGTCATTGCTGCGCATGCGCATTAGGTCTCTCCGGCCATCGTCCGAGGAGTGTGGGCGGAGCCTGACCCAGTGCCGAGAGACATCGGCGTTGGATTCAGGTAAGTGATTAAAGGGTTTTGACCCCTTCAGCCCCACAGGAGGGGGCCTATTAAACCTATTAAAACAGGTTTGATTTCCTGGCCCAATAGGATCCCTTTAAGGCCCCCAGGGAAAACAGTACTGAAAGTACTAGAACAACTTCAATAAGATGAAGTAATTAAAGTACCTATAAAGAAGCACTATATGGTCAGGAACACAAACATGTATTCCTGACCCTATAGGGTTAAAACCACCATCTAATCACCTTGGTCCCCTCATGTCTCCCTAAATATAGTAAATCTCACTTGTATTCAAGCCTTTTGACCTGCCCACTGACATCATCAGAAGTGGTAGCCTGATCCAATCACAATGCTTCCCCATAGGATTGGCTGAGAAAGAGGCAGACCAGGGGCAGAGCCAGCACAATTCAAACACAGCCCTGGCCAATCAGCATCTCCTCATAGAGATGAATTGAACCAATAAATCTCTATGAGGAAAGTTCAGTGTCTGCATGCAGAGGGAGGAGATACTGAATGTTTGGTTGCATTTTATGCAGCCATGACCCAGGAAGGTTCTCTAACAGCCATCTGAAAAGTGGCCAGTGAAGTTATCACTAGGCTGTAATGTAAACACTGCATTTTCTCTGAAAAGACTTGAAGGTAAGGATTTTACTCACCAGAACGAATTCAATAAGCTGTAGTTGTTCTTGTGACTAATGTTCCTTTAATGCTACATTTCCTCAAAAAAAAAAAAAAATGCACGGTATAAATTGCTGAGACTGCAAGGGCAATCTGTGGTGTACAGCACTGACCTTGGTTCCTGGCAGATGAAGTGCCAGGGGTTGAAGAGGAACGCAGGAAGACCATGGTAACAGCCATGATGGAAAGATTCAGTATGTAAAACTCACCTTTCTCTACAACCTACAAAGGTGACATGGAACTTCTGATAACTCAGCTTTTAGAACTCTGCTGTACAGTTACTCTTTATTCATAATTACCAGTCAGCAAGTTTGTGGCTGCATTATGTATACACTACCCTCATTTGTTCATCTTGGCAAAAAGTTGAAGTACATATGGTAATTTATTTTAAATTTATTAAGTGGTAGAGTAGGTTGATTAGGGCAAACACACACAAAGTATACATACACAACCATTTCTTTTTACTGGTCTACCCCGCACGCCTTACAGAGGTCATCTGCCACCTCACGTACCAGAAAATGTGCTCCTCATAGAAACACTAAAATTACGGGACACTGTGCTACATTCACTTGATTGACAAACAGTCACGGCTTACTGTAATTTTCTATTGATCATAAACAGAGATAACAATATCCACGTGCATGTGTGTCAGTGTATGAAGTGCAGTACGATGTTTTGGCTAAACGAACATTACTTTCACTGATAGCCAGTCAAAATATCACCACACATATCCGCTTATAATAGCTAGGACTAAAGCACCCACCAATCAAATACAGTCTCTAAAAGACAGCTGCTGGTTTCAGAAGTGCTTTATACACACTGCTACCTCCATCATATACTATGAACGGTATAAGCCTTATTAAACGCTCCCGTTTTAAAACCCTTACCTTCTTACCTTACACTGCGCACATGCAACAACCTAATTCAGTCAACCGGAAGTAGTGCTCAGAGTAAGGGCAGGTGACGGAAGTGACGTCGAGCTCAGCTTGATTAGTATGGGTAAATGTTCATTTGATTTGGTAAAGAAAAAAAAATACAACAAAAACCCAACAGCCTTTACCTATACTCGAACTACAAATAATAAGAAACCTAACATGATGTATTACGTACTGAAAAAAACATCTCCATTATATATACACACAGACACAACACACTATATTATGTATATGTACACTTTGTTCTATATAAACGCATACACTGTATTGTGCTGTATTACATATACATAGTGTATTATATAAAATACAACATATTGTAATGGCAAATAGCGGACTCTCACTCAGAGTGAACGTCGCCTGTAAAAGCTGGAGAGCACTGATTTGCCATAACAGTTCTATATCCCACCTACCTAGTCTCATGTATTACAGCTCCACCCGGCCATGACCCATTTCCCCTCCCATTTCCCCACACTGCATCACTTGCTCCGACAGCCCTTCACCGGTGGCACGAGAACCATAACCGAGGTACAGGAACGTCATCACATGGCGCCGACAGGTACCGACACGGCATGTCTTTTAAATACACACACATAGTCATTGAAATAGTGTGGTACACGTTGTATGTTCTGTTTGATCAAATATATTCGTTTTAAGTCAAAGTAAAGCAACTCTAAAAAAGTAAAAATGATTATAATGTGCATATAAATGTTACCCTCATAAATGCAAATAAAATTATCCAACTTCATGTCTAAAATAAGGGAAAAGAGCTGTTACTACTATTAGCGAGGGAGGTGCTTCTGCGATTTAGGTGATCCTGTAAAACAACGAATTCACTATACTCCTAGAGCTGGCTGCTAGTAGGTTCTGCTTAAACCCAATTCGCCTATCTTCCTCCTTGGTAAATAAGAGAACTATCTCAATAATCACTTATTCTAATACAATCCAATTTTGCAGCACATAGGTGAAAGTGAACTTTAGCTAATGAACCTCCTTAGAACATCTTAAACAATTCAAGATACCAGGATCCAGGGCTAGCTAACTAGACATTTTATGTAAGAGAGCTTCAATAGATCTTACCTCACAGGCAGGGTTCATTTTACCTTTTATATATGTCTGTGTATACTTTTACTGTTTATTTTCCCAAATTGTACTGTGCTGTGGAATATGTTGGAGCTTTATAAATGTAGTTATAGTGATAGTAGCAGGTTATTTCATATGAAATATATGATGGGACAGTGCTGTTAAAATTCCGAACCTTTTCCTGTATAACAAATACACTTACAAAGACATAAACACTTTCACATGTTATTATATACATTTTCAAACATGTTATTTTACCCATTTTCAGGTCACATGATGGAGTCGCAGTTCAAAGATGGAGACAGTCGTCTCAGGTGGGACCTAACTCCGGAACAGATCAGTTTAATGACGTCCCAACTCATTGAGCAAACCAAGTGTCTATACGATGAAGTAGGATCTCTAGAGCTAAGTAGTGTCACTTACGGAAATACATTGAAGGCTCTTGCAGATGTAGAAGTCAAGTATACAGGTAAGTTGAATGCATAATGAGGCTTCATATTGGCAATATATATATATATCACTATGTTGATGTTTGTGTAATATATGTAACATGCCAGGTTATTTAACTGGCAGGAATATTTGTATATGCATTGCTTTTATCGTTTTATATTTTTCACAAATTTGAATCATTTTAAAATTATTTTTTTATATATATATATATATATACACACACACACTTTTTTTTTTTTTTTTAATGCGAAGCCATGCAAAGAAAGTTCCTGTGCATTTTATTTTTTTTCCAATCAAGCTCCCAAAAGCTTTAATAAGCTCAGTGAGTGTAAGGATAGAACAGTGAGCTCAGCATTTGTGCAAACAGCTGATCGCTTTTTGAACAGCATTGTTGCTCTTGGAAATTCCGGCATTGTGTTCTCATTGAAAGGATTAATAATGTGTGTACAATTTTATTGAATAGTGTGCCCTTAGCAAAGTGACTAACAACTTAAGTTCTGCTAAATATCAAGTTTATTACTTTCTCTTAATTCCCCTTAACCTCCCTTCTTATACTATTGACCACCCTCTTCTTCTTCAAACCCTCCACAACCTTAGACACCCTGACACTGTACTTTCCTGGTTTTCATGTAGTCTTTCTGAACACTCATTTAGTGTCTCCTTCTCTGATGCCACCTCCTCATCAATGCCTGTCTCAGTTGGTGTTTCACAGCACCCTGTTCTTGGTCCTCCTTTTATTCTCCATCTATACTGCCTCTATGGATAACCTTATTAACTCTTTTTAATTTCAATACCATCTATATGCTGAACTTTTTTTTTGGCACGCCAATGGGACAACTATTACTCCATTTTCTCAAGTTGTGTCCTTGGTGCTGCTTTTGACTCGGGTCTTACTTTTCCTCCATACACCCAGTTGGTCTCCAAATCCTGTAACTTGCACATTTAAAATATTGCCTGTATTTTCAGTTTTTGTTTTTTTTAACTCAAGAATTAACTAAGGTGCATGTTCATGCCTTTAACATTTCCTGACTTGACTACTGCAGCTCACTACTGATCTGTCTTCCAAGCCCCTCTTTAGCCCATAATAAATGTTGTTGCCAGGCTCATTTTCCAGACTGACCTCTACTTTCACACCTCACCCTTCTGCAGTTATTACATTGGCTTCCTGTATTATTCAGGATTCAACTGAAAGTGCTAACATTTACATACAGAGCCCTCAATAACTCAACTCCTCACTATATTTCCCGGATATATCCATGGCAGCACTACAGATGGGAATAGCTCCACTCACTTCCAAACTTGACAGGAACACCTCCTAATTAAAACAATAAAAGAGAAATGCCTCCTCCTACCCATCAGTATTTTTTCCTGTCCACTTCACTTTGGACATAGAATGCTTTGCACCTCCTTTTTCTTTTGTGACTTACTTGGGTCATTCGTACCCCTATCCCTTGGGAAGTTAAGCCTCTCTTCCCATGGAAGCCTCAGGATTCAGTGCCTCACCAAGGGGCGAGCCCTTGGAGGAGTCTCCCCTTAGCGACTCGGGATCGTAGGCTGCAGTAACCAGACAGGTAGCACCTGGATGTGCCAGACCCACTATGGTGGTAATGTCCCTTCTATAGGTACACCTGATAAATCTCGGATATTTGGGTTCTTGGCTTTCCCTTTATCGATGGTAATTCCCTTCACTGATACACCTACCTGGACGTGTCATGGCCCATGTAAAGCCAGGTATTAATCCCTTAGGGGGTTAAGCAATGAAGGCTGGTCTTGGGATCCTCTTTACTATCTCAGGTAAGGTTGTAGGCTTATTAAGGTTCTCCCTGTGGGACATCTCTATTTTCCTTACCTTGTTGCTGTGTAGTCTGGCGTTTGTGTATGCGTTCCGGTGGTGGAACGCGCGTGTAATGATGCGCAGAAGATAGCACGTCATTTCCGGTTCTCCAGTCTTTGGTGCAACGCAAATTGGTACACAATAACGCCGGAAGTGACGCTGTTCCGTTGTACAAGAAGCAGAAAAAAACTAGGAAAAGAGAGATTTTTCAGTCCTGAATGGAACCCAGATTTGAGTTCAGATGAGGGAATGCTTTCAGTAGATGATATGAAGGGATTTTCTTCTTCAGAGGAAGATACGCCTTCTGATCCAGCTTTCATGGATAGTAACAAAATCAAAGCTCTTATTAAGGCAGTTCGGAACATCCTTGATTTGAAGGATAAGAAAGATGAGAAATCTGCCTCTAGCAAACATTTTGAAGACTTTTGGAAAAATAACCCGACTTTTCCATTTCACAAAACTATTGAGGAATGAAGGAAGACTGAGAAAAAAAAGTCTCCTTGCAATGCCGGCTTTCTAAACTCTATTCATTTATGCTTAGTGATTGTGCTCCTTGGGACTCAGATCCCAAAGTTGATGCAGCCATTATTCGTCTGGCCAAGAAGACCACCTGTCAGGAATTGTATTCATTTATTACTGGCCCTTTAAGACAGCATGGAAGTACTCACCCTTTTGGCTAATTAAACTCCAATCTCCAACACCTCAGTTGACAATTAATGTGTTAATCTGATTGATTGCATGAACTGCCTTCCTAATCCTTTGGATGACTCTTAGAGAGACCATGTGTTCCATCAACGGATCCCTTCTGAATGTCCTCTTCATACAACTATAACTTGGATTACCTGGTTAACTAATTCAGACTGGCCTTGACTCTGCTTTTGGAATTTCCTTCAATACTGCTTGATCTCCTATTGAACAACCTTGGACTGGATAAAGAACATTGCTTATAGACTAACCCTGGACACATCACCTAAACTTCTATTTTCAAGGACTGTCCGTTTATCTCTCTGCTTTGCTGCCACATCAGTTTGCCGTGCTGAAACTGCCTCAAAATAAAAAGTGAGTGGTTCTTATTTTTGTTTGGCATTTGTTACATAAAAAACATGACACCACCTTTCCAATTGATGATGCAGGATCAATTAGAGATCCAATGGATAGAAGAATGGATTCCAGCTTGTGTAAAACCTATATTTCCTCTGGTTCTTGACTTCGTCCAGCTGTGGCCTTGACATCTTAAAACAATGGTTGGAAGACATCTTAAAGCAATGGTTGGAAGACCTTGAGGAGGATATTTGCCATGGGGTTAGCAGAACTAGAAATTTGGACTCTATAAAGAATTTCAGAATAGCCATTGAATTTACTTCTGACGCTACTATTAATTTAGTCAGATCCCTGTCTAGAAGCATAGTCTTGTCGGTAGCCTCAAGACGAGCATTGTGGCTCAGAAATTGGTTTGCTGACTCAGCTTCTAAGAATAGCTTATGTGCCCTTCCCTATCAAGGGGACATGCTGTTTGAAAAACATTTGGATGTGGAAGGGCGGAAAGCTTTTCTTCCTCAAGATAGAAGGCAAAAATGATCCTTTCCACAAGACAGAAACTCCTTTTGTGATAAGGATTATAGACGCTACAGACCAGGGAAGGAATTTTCCAGATTGTTTCTCCTCCTCCAAAAATACTTGTGGGAGAGGTGGCAGTACCAGGCAGTCTAAACAATTCTGATGGGGCACCAGTCTGGGGGAGTGGGAGCAAGACTTCTGGACTTATCAGAGATCTGGGCTCACAATATTCCAAACAGATGGTTCTTAAAAATCTTTCCTGGTATTCTCCTCCATTCCTTTCCCTCGATTCTTGCAAACCAGAATGCCTCAAGATCCATTAAAGGCAAAAGCGCTCCATTCATTTGTGACCTCTCTCCTAGCAGACGGAGTCATTTGTCAAGTTCCTTCAGGAGAAATAGAATTGGGGTATTACTCAAGGCTTTTTCTAACTCTGAAAGTGTTTGGGGAATGGAGGCTAATTTTAGACCTTCACGATCTCAACAAAGGATTGTTTGTCAAAAAATTCAAAATGGAATCCTTCAGTTCCATCATCAAAGGGGATCGGATGATCTCCCTAGATCTTCGGAATGCCTACTTTCCCTGTTTGGCTCCAGCAGCCTTGAGTGCCGTGCAAAGACACCTCGAGTGCCGTGCGTGGCACACGT